TCAACGGTCGATCTTTCTCGTATATCCACAGCTAAGAACAGCGAACGAATGTACAATGTCCGAGTATAAGCAGTCTCGCACATAGGTATTTGTTCTACGGATGAGTCGATGTAACAAATATCATAGATCTTACCTTTGGTATTTATAGCCACATATACACATGAAAAATATTCACAAAAATAATACGAACTGAATGAAACAAATTATGAATATGTGAAATTTTATAGTTCTCCTTTTTTATGATAGTAAGTGATGGGACGAACAGCTCGTGCGCCTGATGGTAAGCGACACACCTGTCCATGACAGTTCGAATCAAAGCTTTAAATTGCAAAGATCTGAGATGCATAAAAAATTCATCGACTATTAATTATAAGCATATTATGTTATTAACGGAATTATAATAGAATCTTCAAACCTCTCTCCTAAAAAGTTGCCACTTTGAAAATACATCCACAATGTATTGCAGCAAGGAGGCAATTTCGTATTCAATTCTTGTTAAGAAATGAAATTCAAACTGACCAATAAGAAGCTTTTATGACATAAGGGTCTTTTTCGTAAAACCTGTCAGATATTGAAGATATTACAAAATTTAATCTTATGATAAAATATTTCAGACATGTCGTACATATAATATAATTTGAAAAGGAATGACGCTCATACGAAGTTTGATACTATTTTGAATATATACATATACTAACCAAACTCGGGTTAGTAAATTATTGTACATACTTACAAAATAACATGGTTCAATAAATAGTGCATAAAAATAATAGGACTTTTTTTATACAAACTTTTCATAACTATATCGTTACCTTTGTACAATAACGCAGTATTGCAGAATGCTGCGATTTTGAATTATGCATGTAGCTACCGCTTATTCCCAGTCGGCACCACTGGCTTTGTTCCCTCTGACGACAAACGGGATAAAAAAAGCCCATATGTTACGAGGTGGTGACATACGGGATAAAAATATGTGTTGTTGCCACTGGCGACAAATGGGATTTAAAATATCGCGGTAGTTGCCTGTGGTAACAAATCCAAATTAATGTTTCTTTAGTGCCGCCATTGAACCCTCTCAATAAAAAATTCTATTTTAATGATAAAAATACACATCTTATTCAAATAAATCAGTCTTAAACATCAGATGTTTCCAATACCATACAATAATTAAAAATCACAATAATAGTGACATCATTTACAATTATTCAGATAGCCTGGACACTATTTGCGTGTCCAGTCTGTATTTTTATTTGAAGTAAGCATACAGCGACGAGCAAAGCAAGCGAAGCTTTAACCTGAATAAAACGTCAATCTTCTTACGTCTAAAATATTAAGCTGAAATTAGGAAACGGGTGCTTTATTCACGGCAAAAGTGGCGCTTGCGCAGCTCGTCGCTGCATGCTTACTTCAAAATCGTAGCTTTTATTATATTGACGGGGCGAACAATCGACACACCTGTCCATAGCAGTTACAGTGCCACTCAGAGCTTTAAATCGCAAAGACCTGACGGGCACTGCCACTGTGCCCGTCACCCTGAAACAGTGCAGTCGCATGTGCCTGTAATTTCACCAGTATTCTGCAAGTGTGTTATTATTGTATAAAGGCAGTGATATGTAGATTTTAATTGGAAAAATAATTATATAATATCTACATAATATATTCCATACATCAGACAGCAGACTGTGAAATGCCTAAAGCGGCCGTGCGGTCTTATACGAATAACCTTTTAAGTTACTGTAAGATATCCTATTTTCGTCGCGTGGAATTGTAAACTAAATTAACTCCCCAGTCATGTTGCAAATTTTTGCAAATTAATCTTAAGATAAAATGTTAAAGTATCTTCACGTCTGCGAAACGCATGGATTATTAGTAATTATCATCTAACTTTCGTTTATTTTAATACACACAGAAAATCTCTATTTATCATATGAACGTTAACTCAACAAATATTAAATAAAGTCAAATAATTTTGCAGCTTAGAATGTTACACGGTACACAAATTTATTGTACTATCACAAAGATTTCAAAGCCTATCTAGACTTATAATAGTAAACTTAATCTACGAGTACTTCGTAAAAATATTGACCGTGTGAGATTTCTTTTAGAAATTTACTTAAAGAAAAATTTTATTTATATTCCGGAATATAATATAAAATACTCCAAGTCTGGCTTTTCTAAGCTAGTTTGATTGTTCATTAGCTTTATTTGGATCAAAATTGTAATAATAAAATAACGACACTCTTGCTCTCTCCAGGTGTCAACTCCTCATTTATATTGAATGATATGAAACGTCTAATCACACTAGAAGAATATGCCAATATAGTCAAAAGGGTACTTCAGAAAGATGAAATAAGTTAGAAAAATTAGTTTCTGTGCCGCATTTTAACATTTTTTTTAAATAAGCTATTATATAAAATAATTTTTTTTTTAATAATATTTTTTGTTGTGCCATTTCGACAGCTCACGATTTGGCGCAATGTAAAGCCAGTCGCTAACGCGTCCAAGTTCCTCCCTTCCTCTTGGTTATAACCTCTTGGTTAACCTCTTCTGAATAACCTCTTGGTTATTCGGGAAGGGCACTATGACCTGTGTGAGCGAATCCGCACAGGGACCGTCTAAGTCAGGTCCTAACCCCGTTTCAGCACGTTTGCTAGTATCTTAGGTGAGTCGCCCCGGGCGCACGTACAGCACCGCGGATGCGGATGGTCAGTGAGGGATTCTATTCAAGGGCATTACTGATTGCGTAAAAACTGCGCAGCACGCGCTCAGTACATAACACGACAATTAGGTTTGGACGCCAGCACTGGAGTCTATTACGATATAAAAGGGAGCATCTTCAGGCTCAGACAGATTATTTTCTTATAAGTAATTTTAGTAAGTATGTAGTCATTGTAAACATCTATTGAGTAAAGATTACGTACGACGATTTCTAAACTTTAAAATTATTACTTCAGTCAGCGGCTAAAAGTACCTTACGGTCGTAATTGACTTAAATGACTTTTGGAATATGTCCTTGATACATATTTATTGGTTGCAATAACGCACCTTAAGAATTACGTCCTACTTGTCCAAACTGATGTGATGTTTCAACACCACAATAGAGGCGTAATTGGACTACATTATAAAACACGCGTTCAGTACGGATATGTGGGGTCCGTTAATTACGATGCAATTCTATAATTGTTGAAATTAAACTATTATTTTTTATTTCAGAAGGAAGTAGACAACGCCACGTCTCTACCCATATGAAGATGGTCTTGTAAACTACTCGCTTCATAAGTTACAATCCTTTCATAGCAATCAATATAAAAGATATTTTAACATACAATTACTAGTTTCAATTCAATTCCTACAAATTCCTTTCCAAGCTATAGTTTTGAGAGAAAAGACGGTATTAGAAGGGTATTGTGAAGAAATACACTTACTATATTGTAGACATTCGATACACTAATTGAGTAAATATTTTGTAATAGAGTTGTTTGTGGTTACCCCGATTACAGTATTCATTATATGATTAAGTAAACAATCAAGACTTCTATTTTATATTAAGTATATTGCGCTAATAAACACTGAAAATCCTTTAAATTCTATTACTTCTACGTGATAATTTAAATTATAGGTGTTTATGTTTTTTTTTTTTAAATATATAATAGACACGCTTGACCACAATCTCACCTGATGTTAAGCGACGATGTGACCGACGATGGGACGCGTTTGCCTAAAAAATGCCTATTCACTCTAGCCTTGAATAGCCCCAAATTGTACTTTTCGGGAAATACAGATGCCGTAGAGCATTCGATTCCTATGCCGTACGCATCAAAAAGGAGGAAGCAAAGCGCTTAGTGCGAATAGGTGGAATATCAACGACATAAGAATGGAGTGCTCCGGACCTTCTAGTCGACCGAAGGAGGAACGGTGAGGGCGGAACCAAATTGAAAAGTTCCTGCGCACATGAATCTAAGAGATTTATTCACATTTCATATCATTTAGCATTTTTAATATTTTTAAAACATTTACTAGTTTCTATTGCAGATTATACAAAATTGTAGGCTCCTATACATTTATTCAATACAATCCTCATATAAGCAGAATATACGTATAATAATATTATTATTCTCCTTAATGGCGGCCACTAGGCTTGGGCCAATGTTACCACAATAGCATTGATACTAATTTTTTTATTTATTTTGCATTATGCCCGTTTTAATCTAGTTTTATTTCAAAGAGAGAGATTATACAGAAGAAATTTTATTTCATAGAAAAGAGATATTGTAACAGATTTTGATTGTATTGATTGATTTTCTCGTCATTCCTACACAGAGTATTATCGCAACATACAAAGATGTAAAATATATTACACGTTTACTGCCACATCTCTCTTATTTAACATTTTGCACTTACGAGAACAATGCTGACATCGTCTAGAAAAGTTACAAAACTGCTAACGAAAGCAAAACACATGCTGAAAAAGGAGAACGTAGAGGAGCCTACAAATTTGTATAATTAGCTGTACATTGTATTAAATGTTTTAGAAATATTAAAAATGCGAAACGATATAAAATGTGAATAAATCATCTAAGAACTTGATAGAGCTTGTTTTTTGCAAAGCAATTTACTACAAACCACCATATTGTAAAATTTACAATATCGAAATGGGAGCTTCTTACATTTCGATATTGATACCGCATACAGCTTTTGCAAAATATTTGACTCACTATATCAAGCTCAAAGAAACTTGTTCCAATTGAGCTATAGTAGGAAGGTTACTAAATGTAGTCCAATGAGAGCCTTTGGACTGGCGAATGACATCATCACTTGAAAAACAAGTACAGTATCATTGGACACTTTAATACTGCTCTGGTTCATCTTAGAACTAAGCATTAGGTATACATTTTTTTTATTCTACTGTAGTTGAGTAAGTATAATAAGAATAAAACACCAATTTTACTTGTTTCAATGTCATCATCAGTGATGAGACTTAAATAGCTACAAAACTTATTATCTATCGTCCTAATATCCAATAATAAAACCACTACAAAAACCTTTTAACTGACCTTGAAATTTTTCCTATTTAACATTTGTCAACTGATCTTTGCCACCAAAATCGCGCAGGCACCGAGTGAATTGCACGCAGCCCATGGCCGATGGGATGTCTTTGTCCATAGTTAAGGCATAACGGTACATCCATAGAGCTTGGTTGTATTGCTTCTGCAATTGTATGTATGCATTACAGGTGGCAAGGAATAAATTCAATCACATTACATAAGAAGTCGGAACGTCTCCGGTATGTCAATGTATATAATATGTTAGATATATTAATAGACTTATTTACATAAAACTTATTATGGCCAAGTAACCCTTGTGAAGGTGATACTAGTAATTCATAAATTTTAGCAACGACATCTACGACAGAAGGCGTTAACCGACAGAAAGCTAGTTAGGAATGATCATAAGTTCTATAGTGTAAATAGATCACAATAGATGACGTTAACAAGGTCCAATCTTTTGAAATTTGTTAAACAACTTGTAGACCCTAAAGGAAGACTGTATTAATTTTATTTGCTTAGTCGGTAGGTGAAACTATTCGCAACATGACGAAAGTCACAAAGTCGTCGTCATTTTTTTTTTTACAAGATTGACAATTTCTACATGTTACGTATCGCACGTTGAAGAAAATATGTGTGCTCGAGAATTAATAATTAATGTTACTGAGGATTCAAGTGATGATTCCTGTTCATATGGAGAAGAATCCGACGATTCAATATATTAAACAATAAGAATTTATTACTATTATTTATAATTAATTTCACTTCATTATAATTTATTAAACAGGTACCAAAATTTATCAACTTACAACAGCTCGATAAAAATCGAAGCTAAAGAGCACGTCGCTTCACTGAAATTAAAAAAGAGTCCAGGACGTATTGTATTTTTTATCTATAGTTGTATGTCAATCATTTCGGAAGTACGAGGGCAACATATGTCAAAAGTTAAATAAATACATAAAACAATTTCGTCTACTCGGTTAACTCGACCTGTAGCTCAGTTGGGAGAGCGATGGGGACGGAATTCCAGAGACGTAGGTTCGAGTTCTGTCGGACCGATAGACTATTTCTTTGTGTTCGATCTTTGTATTTAATAATTATAACAATTATACTTACATTGTCTGTGTGTGCTATTCCCGCAATAAATGCGTCAACACCATACCTAGGTGAATAATACCAGGAGAGTAAGGCAATCTCTTTTGCGTCTTTCGGTTTCTGTTGCCTGTAAGAAATGAGTCGAAATTGTTATAACGATATTGGTTTCATACAATCAATATAGGGACTAAACATAAGGCAACAAATTTTTGCGACCACGACCGCCATGAGCTAAGGCGCGCAATACAGTTCTACGGAGTTGCTACTTCCAAAACTGTTTGTAATCGCTTCATCAGTCGGCCCAACGAGCTCATCAAATTGTATTAAATATCTTAAACCAGAACAACTTAGGTCAAAGGCCATAATTTTCATAAAAAATTAAACTACTTTTTCAGATCTAAGTGTGGTTACACACGGCGACTTTTAGCAGTGACGCAAACGTGCGTTCGTGAAACGCGCGATTCCATCGCTACACTTGCGATTAAGGGTGAGGCCAGACGAGCGTAATTTTGTGAGTCGTGAGTTGCGTTTTTTGAGTTGCGCAATTTGCAGATTGGAGCGCCAGACGAACGTATTTTATTCAGTTGCTTTAAAGCGTTTATACCAAAGTGACCCTTTCCCTCACCCCTACCGCCACCCACGCCAGCCCGTCTCACGATGCGACCGAAAGTCAGTCGTCATTACGCCCGTGAGTCGGCAGATAACTCATTTTGTCTAGTCGTGTGAAACAAACCGTACTTTTATATGAAACCGAATGCAGCGCTAACTACGGAACTTAAACTACGGGACTCACAACTCACAAAATTGTGCTCGTCTGGCCTCACATTTATAGGCGTTATTGCATGGATGCAAACGCGCGACTGCATCGAGACAGTTGCTTATGTTGAATCATTATGTACGAAAAATCTGTATAGGTTTATGCACATTGTTCGTTTATTGTTGTTTTGTTAAAAGTGAAATTAATAAATACATTAAGTAAATAAATTAGTTAATTAACTTAAAATGTGCATCGCGTTTGTATCGCGTTTGCATTGCTGCTAAAACCCGCCATGTAACCGCTCTAAATCGTGCTTTTTTTTTTTTTCAAATAAACCAACGTTTCGGTCCCTTTACAAATCCGAAACCGACCCTTTATAGATCCGAAAAAATAGTTTCATTTCCATAGAAGTTCAATTGCCTCCGTGGCCGAACGGTTACCATGCCGGACTGCCACGCAGAGGTCCCAGGTTCGATTCCCGGGCCGAGAGAAATAGTTGTATGGCCTACAATTATTTCTCTCGTGAGTTTGGGTGTAATTTGTGGTTGTCTATATGTGTGTCCATGGCACCCGCGACACAGGGTTTCCCTAGTGCGGGGCTATGTTGAGTGTGTGCGTTATTTTTTTTTTATTATTTTTTTAAAAAAATCGAAAAGTACAAATGTAAGTTTCTGTTTTCTAAATTTATTAACAACATGGTAATTGTAAAAAGGACATTTTAATAAAGACGTTAACGTAATGTGGATTTGGCTTATGAAATATGATCTACTGACGACGAGAATATGTGTATGTGCCAGTAGAATGTCCAATATTTTTTTTATTATACTAAGCGGCTAGACGAACAAGTCGTGCACCTGGTGGTAAGCGAATCACAAAGATCTTAGGGGCACTGCCACTGTGCCCGTCACCCTGAGACATAAGTTGACAAGTCCCATGTGTCTATAATTTCACCAGCACCCTTACCCTTCGAAACCGGAACGCAGTAATGATCATATTTGATTCCCTGGACAAACTCTTTCACAAGGAGCTCTACTGCTACTAAAAATATGTATGATGAAATTGATGAACAATATGGATGGGATTTCGCTCCGTGGCTTAGTTGGTATAGCGTCAAGCACGGGAAGCTAGAAGATGTCGGTTCGAATCCGGCTGGATCGAAGGAATTTTTTTTGTGGAGTAATTTCACAAAAAAATATTGAGTATCAATTCAATAAAAATTTAAAAGATGGATGAAAATAAATTAAAATATAGTTTACGGTGTACATACATTTGCAGTAGAGTAACGAGGGATCTGATTGCGTGGGAAGCATCCTCTTTGGGCGCGTTGGCGAAAGACGCAGCGAAACAGCGAACGGCGCATTTGCCGCGCCCCTTCGCACCGCACCACCACCCGGCGCCCAGCGCGCCCATCCAAGACTGGGGACGCTGGAGGATTTCCACGACCAAGTATTATTAAGGGGAAGCATGACGCAAAAATTCACCAGTGTGACCAAAAGTAACGGAGAATAGAAGACAAATCTTACTCGAGTTTTTACGTTGTGTTCTTTCTTGAGATACTGTTCAATAAAGCTACACAAACAACAAATTTGTACATTGCTTCGAGCTGAATATAATCATCAACTTCTGGGTGCAAGCTAAGTTTTATCACCGTTTAATGAAAATAACGAAGTACTATTGTTTAAACATTTCTCACTTCCACAAGTAGCGAAATTATAGAACCAACGTCAAATCCAAAAGTTACATATCACCTTTCCAAACATAACGACGTGACGTTGACGTCTATTTTGAACCTTTTGGTGTCAAGGGTTAAGACTATTATACTTAAACGGTGAAATCGAAGATCGAGAAGAAACCTGCCAGTGAAGGTACACAGCACCTGTCACAGTTGGACAGGTTTTACTTTCGTGAAAAGCTCGTAAGTCAATATTTTAGATTCTACATATTCCTGCAGGGCTGGCATGACAGGTCGCAACTTGCGCGAGAGAGACATGCAAACACGGGTTATTACTATTTTTCTATGCGAGAATGCTCTCGTGCTAGCCCTATTTACAACTTGCATTACAACTTGGCGGCCGAAATAGGTAAGGTGGCAGTACTACCCTGGACGAACTCTTTCACGTGGAGCTCTACTACTACTAAAGCGTGAAACGTTCAGAGAACGGGTGCGAGTCGGGCGCATGTCGGGTTGGATCGGGTCGGCAGCACGGCGGGTATAATTCTATGTATCTATATAGACGACAACTCACCTTGCGCGGGCGCGGGACGGGCGACATCACCCGACATGTTCCCGACCCGCATCCGCTTTCAGTGTGTTTCACGCTTGAAGGTTCATTGCGGATAACATAAATAAATGTTCAATAACTCACGGTTTCCACGTATTTCGCAATTTTAGCACCAAGCACCGCGTAATTGGTAACTTCGTAAAGCCCAGAGTTGTAATGCATCAGATTCTCATTCTCTTCCCAGTTTTGTGTATCCACCGTAGTCAATCTCTCAAGAAAGTAATCCTCGGATGGATCCCCGTCTAACTGGCATTCTGGTTCTTTTATTGCGTCTGGGGTCAGTATTGGAATATCTTTGGTGATTCTTCTGTAGATGAAAATTAAAGTATCTCTATTACGTTTAAAGATTTACTAACGTGGCCCACAAGCGTTACAAAAGATTGTTGCTATCAGACGGCATCGTTTAATTGGCAAAGTAACGCCTAAATCTATTAATTATTTAAATAGGAACCTAGCAACTCTCGACATTAGTTTGCAAATCGTGTTTATTAAATGCATCGAGTATATATAAGCAGAAATAGAGACGAAATCTCATTTCATTTGTTTGAAAACTATTCTGCCAAATCACTACTGTGACAAATGCGCTCCGATTGGCCGGCCTGAATTCGAAACAAATGACGGATGTCGTCATTTGTTTCATTTCAAATCGAGGAAAGTTTTAAAATTACATGTTTAATTACCATGAAATGTTTAATTACCGAATGGAACAGCCCCCAGATAGTTAGAAATATTATCTTTATTACAATAAATACAGAATATTTTTGGAATATACGGACACGCACACACAAGTCAGTTGTTGGCGCTATACTGTTTGAGCTTTCTAATTTGTGATTTCAGGCAAACTTGATATTTAAAAGTGATATAAGGCCGATTTGCCTGATGAGTGCCAGGTATGTACGGCCCTTATTTCGTCTCTATTTCTGGTTATATACTCGATGGTTAAATGCCACTGAGATTGAAAAACACCAGAATTACACTATAATAGGATCAAACATCGTTTGTTTTGAACGCGCTTAAAGATATGTTATGATATGAGATACGTTTTAATTGGAGGGGAATTACTAAGCTATTATGTGTTTTACAATTACAAATTAATATTGAATTTGATAAATACGAATTGAAGTTTGCTTACGTGAATTCACTTGACATAAGATATGCGAAGACGGCCAGTTGCAGCCAGAATCCAAGCTCTTGATCGAGATCACAGTTTGGCCTGGACAATGTCTTTGGCTCCCAGTGATTATCTGAAGTTATACGAAAGTTGGTTAATTAACAAGCACGCACGCACGCTCGTACACACGCATTCACACACACTAACAAATATTTACATGTGTGCTTAGGAGTGCAAGTTACGAATACTGGGGCTTTCTTAGTGAATAACGCCTTCGTGGCGAACGGTTACCATGCTAGTCTGCCACACAGAGAAAGATATATTTACACCCCACATTTATTTATTTATTTCTCTCGTGAGTTTGGGTTTAATTTTTGGTGTTAAAAAAAATGCACGTTATAAGAGATTACCAAAAATGGTTTATCACGCGCACGTACTGTCATTATTCAAGTGCTCATTGTATGTTATGTTTTAACGGGCCGGTGTCAGCTAGTTTCTAGTGCACATTAATAAAAGGGTAAATTATTTAAAGACAAGCTAAATAAGTGCTTCAAGTAGCCTACTGTGCTACTATACTTTCATGACTTTATTGGTTCTCCATACAGACTTTCAACCCCTATTTCACCTCTTTTAATTGACTTATATTTGTGACAAAAAGTAACCTATGTCCTTCTCCTCGGCCCCATCCATATCTATACCAAAATTCATCAAAATTGGTTCAGCAGTTAAAAAAACGTTACAGACAAAGTTGCTTTAGCATTTATAATATTAGTTTGGATATAATATACCGAATCATTCTAAGAAGAGACCCAAAAACCTGTTTTCATTGAAACGTTATGTAAACTTGTAATGTTAACTTCTGGCCGCTTTTTTATTGTTATCGGATTGAACTTAAAGTTACTGTGGGAAATAAACGTCTCCTCATTTTATTATCTATAAGACAATAAATTGGTTCATAGGAATTCATACCAAGGAACTATTCAAGATAAAAGTATGGTATGTACGGACAACGGCACATCAGACTTCACATTTTTGTTCGAAAATCGCCTCCAGTGCAACGGAACAAGATACGTAAATGTGTAGCTTGATGTGCTGGCGTGTGTACTTACTAAGGCAACCATATTCCGCGCATAGAATGAGAGATTTCTCTATGGTCTTCATGAATAGCTGAAAATTTTGTATATGGCCGGCCTTGTCTGTTGTATCACTGGGCATGTTGGTGATCACGGCGTCGAACCGATTCTCTTCCATAAGAAACTCGTGCTCCAATACGTTCTCTTTCATCATACGAACTAGTGCACTTGTGCCTGCAATGTGATTAGGTTGTGTTTAGGTAGGTATTATAATGTGATATTGTGATAAATAACGAAATTATATTATTTTTATTGTAATAACTATAATTAGGAAGTTTTCAACATTTTATTTTATAATATCAAGTCATGAGACGAAACAACACTGCCACTGCGCCCGTCAACCTGAGACATAAGTTGACAAGTCCCATGTGCCTGTAATTTCACTAAAACATTTTAGTAGCAGTAGAGCTGCTTGTGAAAGAGTTTATTTCTACCGCCAAGCAGCAATGTGAGATTTACTGCGTTTCGGTTTCGAAGGGGTGCTGATGAAATTACAGGCACATGGGACTTGTCAACATATGTCTCAGAGTGACGGGCGCAGTGGCAGTGTCCCCCAGAAGTCTGCATAGATATCTAGTAAATACTAAAATAAAGAGGAGACTGATGATGATGGTAGCAGTTTGAACATAAACATAATTACTGCAGATCTGTCACCTCGCAGCCAATTACCAATAAGTACCACAGTTAAGGTAGCAATCGGGTACCAACAGACATTGGCGGTGGGTTAACACCCAAAGATCGCGCACGGGTTTTAATCCATTTCTGCCCAAAATCGTGGGCAGAAAGGGCGAAAATGGAATTTGATATAATACAATACTTACTACAAATTTCGTTCTAAAAAATCCTCTTTAGACAAAAACGAGGCAACTGCACACGCTTTGCAATCCTGTGGATTCTCATTACTAAGAATGCACATTACGATTCCATTTTTACCAAAATCGATACTGTATCGATTTATTTTAATGCAATTTTCAAGCGAATCGATTCAATAGAAAGGGGAATCGACAGAAATTTAATAAAAATAATAACAAAATTTGAACAAAACTCGATTTACAACAAATCACATCAAAAAATATTTAGTTGTAAATAGATTTTACCCTCGCTTTTGAACATTAGTGGGTTTTAACCAGATTTAAACCCTGCAATTTAAAGATCTGAGACCTCGACTGCATGAAGTTGATAACTACTTCACGCATTACTGCAAACATGCAGTCAATCTGTTAGCATCCTTCCAGTTGTCAAATTAAGGCCAGCGTAAAAACCGGTGCACGGTACGGCACAGGACATCATATTTATCAATGTATGTTTTGTGCTATTACAATTGCAATAAGCAATTTCATGCTCTGAGACGCAAAGAGAAATGCGCTGCAATACTTCGAGGTCGGTCCTAGCGCATCGGAATTTATACCCTATTTTAATTAAAAAATTGCACTTGGGAATAAGTGACACGCCTGTCCATATCCATATCAGTCGCAGTGCCATTCAGAGCTTTAAATCGCAACGATCTGATGGACATAGCGCTCAATCACTGTTGAGATATAAGTTGACTAGTCCCGTCGGATTAGCGGAAGAAATAGGTAAGATGGCAGCATGGACGCACACTTTCATAAGGAGGTCAACTGCTACGTTCTTTGTTGAACATAGATTGATGGAAAATAAATAATACAAAATTAATTTGACAATTGAATACCGCCTAGTGAAAGAGGTCGAATTAGTTAAATTAAAGAAAATAATAAATAAAAATAAAATCCCATATTATTCAGAGGCTGAAGTGTAAATTTGTAATCATTCAAACGTAACTACCGCGCGTTTGCGTTAAGATTTTTATTTAGATCTTAATTATATATTTATAAGGTTTAAATTAAAATCTTAACCCAAACGCGATGGTTAAGTTTAGATATTTGAAAACTTACACTAAGGAACCTGGTAATCGTACTCACCGGATTTGTGTGAAGTTGGACACGGCTTATTAGATGCGTCACAGTTGTAGCCTTCGCTGTTGCAGCGCATGTAGAGACTCGGCTCCATCTCCGTGCAAATGCTATCCTCGTCTAAGATGTCTATTTGGTGAAACAAAACAAACAATGAACTGATTAGAACCACTGGTGCTTCGAGGTAATTCGTCTCGCAATATTCTATTTTTTTTTATATTATTAGTGACGGGACGAACAAGTCATGCGCCTGATGGTAAGGGACACGCATAACAGTTGCAGTGCCACGCAGAGCTTTCACCCGCCCGTTTCAGAGCCCGTCATCTTGAGACTTAAGTTGAAAACTACCATGAGTACTGATGTGCCATAATCACCACACTCCGTCCTGGTAACTCAAGGCCAGAAATTCGGAACGGGGGTGATACGTCACACAAAACACAATTTACGCGCAAACTTTGAACGCCCAGCTGAACGCACCACCGTTTCGAATTTGCGGCCTAAGGGCGCCTTCAAATGTGCTGCTACTAATTTTCAAACAATATTTAGAAGCGCAGCTGCAGCACCATCCATATAGTACGGAAATTTGTAGTGACGAGAGACAGTAAGTTACTAAAGTAAGTGCACACACGGCACATTTACCGAAACACTAATAAAATCCCTAAAATAATGTGATGTTTTTTCAAGTCTCGTCGGTTATTTTCCTTTTTTGTTTATGACCAATTTGAAGAAAAAAAAATTGTGACTGTCACTCTTTTCATTAATTTATTTTAATTTCCCACAAATGCAGGTTTGTTAAGCGGTTTGAGATGGATTTTGCGCTCCTGTGAAATAAGAATTAGACATAAAGTAGCAGTTCAATTATCACATTTCAACAACGATCGATTACTCAATCTTTATCTATTATTATCTTAACTGCCTCTGTGGCCGAACGGTTACCATGCCGAACTGCCACGCAGAGGTCCCAGGTTCGATTCCAGGGCCGGGAGAAATATTTGTATGGCCTACATTTATTTCTCTCGTGAGTTTGGGTGTAATTTGTGGTTGTCTATGTGTCTATCCATGGCACCCGCAACACAGGGTTTCCCTAGTGCGGGGCTATGTTGAGTGTGTGCGTTATTATTATTATTTAAAAAATCGAAATTAAATAAAATGCATTATGTGAACAAACAGTTGAAAATGTAACAACTGTACAGTTTAAGATTGATAACATCAAACGTAAATAAATAACTTTCAACCAAAGTCAATGCTTTCAACCTATAGTTTGAAGAAATTTACAAGAACGCAAAAACAAACTCGGACCACTTGACAAACCTAAACTGGTAGGAAATTAAAACAAATTATTGAAAAAAATTACAGTGAAGTATTTTTTTTTAATTAGAAAAAGTAAAATAAACTGAAAAAACACTGCATCATTTTGGCATTTTACTAGTGGTTCGCTAAATGTCCCTCGTGTGTAGTAAAGATAAAGAACATTTGCACAATCGGGCGTTAAAAATAGCCAAGAAAGTTTTAATAAAACTACTTTTACGCAAAAATACCTTCAAAATTAGTTAAGCTTTTCCCACAGTCAGTTCGTCTATTAATATCGTCTATGTATATTCTATCTATAATCTATCTCAGTAATTGTTGCATATATACTCGTAGTGAGCTCAAAAAGCACAATGTGACATCATGACAAGTTCATTGTGTTAAGAACACTAATATCAAGAAACTTACTTAGTAATTTACAGAACTGTGAACCCTTATTATGTAGTTCAATGACAATAATTACTTTAGAAATAACACAAAATAGGCACTACTCTCTATAATTGTGCTCTTTCGTTCCATTTATAAGTTAAGTATTAATAGTCACATTTAAGTTTGCGTTTTTATTTAAAATTGCGCGTTATGTGCAGTTATAACATGTTTTATAAATCTTTTCTACTAAGTGAAAAGAAAAAAATTGTGTTTTTAAAAAAATATAGTAAAATTTAACATTCATAATTTTTTTTTTTTTTTTTTTTTATACATGACAGGCAAATGACTCCACTCCACCTGATGTTAAGTGGAAAGTGGTATCCAAACGCGAAGGAACCTAGTGCAGCGATGGGACCCTCACTGCACTAGCCACCTCCACCCTGCCTGCCTACAATATGCCTCTTCACGCCTCGTTTGAAGGACCCCATATGATAAGAGGGAGGGAAGACATGTGCCGGAAGGGAGTTCCATTTGTCAACCGTGCGGCAGAGAAAGGAGCCACCGAACCTATTAGTACGCGATGGAATGCGGCAGGTAGTGAAACGGTGACTACAAAGGCCAGCACGCGTGCTTTTGAGCAGGAACGGGGAAGGGGGGATGAGGTTGAAATGTACAGGTTAATCTATAATAGGTTTTTGCAACACCGTTTCTTGTATGTTCACTTATTACAAGCGATGTATGTTATAAAATAAAAATAAAAACTATTATTTTTATCAAAATAATGAAAAAATTTGGAAACCAATTTTTCTCCGAATTATGAATTTACTGCTTGTGCCTTTCTTACTTCCGAAGACAGTATCTATGGTATAATATACATACTCATGTCAATTTTCTGCAGAACATTAGCCTGTCGGTAAATACAGGCCCATCCATCCAATAACATTTTGCTCACGCCGCCCATAAAGTTAGGCTCGACGCGACCGATTATCTTTAAATGGGACATGTGCGCCACGCTGTTCTTATTAATCATGTTTACTTCGGCGAGAATGAAGTTTGTTGCTGGCTGTAAATTGAAATATTATAAAGGCCACTTATTCTTGTTTATTTGAACAGAAATTTAAAATCAACTGTAATTTTTAATCTAAAAAAATATATGTATAGACATACATAATATATCTTAATTTTGTCGTTCGAATTTTTACAATAATAATAATAAGATTTTTTTATTGGCGGCAATTGCGTTGTGAAATAGAAAGTACATTTCTACGTGACCTTGTTGAGCTCGCAAACAATAGTTAACAAAATTTGTAATAAAAAAATACATTATTTAATAAACTAAAATGAATAATAGCATTACAGATCCATAAACTTTAACAAGAATAAAGTTCGTTCAGAACATAACAACAGAAAACTAACAGGTAAGTATTACAAATCAAATTCTGACCGAGAGGTGCTACCGAAAATTCTATTACGGTAACCTGTCACAATTCACTTAAATGAAAAATTGTTTGTAAAGGGTTCTTACTTCAAAAATATTTATTTTGAAAGCCTCGTCAACTGCAGACTTAGCCTCTTCAAAGAATCCCATCTCCAAAAATACAGACGACAATGACACTAGAACTAGGTCCCTGTAGTTTAGATCTTGAATTAGTCTTTTAGCGCCAATTAGGCAGTTAAGGGCATATGCATTGTTGCTGCGCACACGCCAGTACAATGATGTGAGCGTGTAGAGAATCCATTTTGGAGCTAAATTCTGAAATCAAAAAAATGCTGGTGATATAACAAGACGAAATCAAATACTAAGTATACTAGACTAGGATCATTCAATAACATGACTGAAATGAGAAGAAATTTTTAATCATTCAAGTGTGATTTGCTTGTTAATGAAACAAAAAGATACTGAATTTCAGTGCCCAAAAGTAATTTGTAACATGTACGTACCATCTGCACAGCGGAGTGAATGCGCTGTCCGATCTCGGCTTCTTGCATGTTCTTGACCGTCTCAACTTCGCCATCGCCTACGTATTCGAGAAGCTTCACTTTTAGGTGTGACACGTCTTTGATTGCTTCATTCCCGATTTGTGGTCTGAAATTGTTATATAATATTTAAAGTATAAACCTATGAAGTGATGACAAGCTTGTTAAGAAAGTGTTTGCTTCCTACATATGAGGATATCAGTTCGATTCCCATTGAAAGGAGACCACTAAATCTTGATGATGAGAAAAGACGTAGTTTTATTATTATTCAAAAACTGATAACCGTACTAAGGATTTATTTTGTTTTTTAGAGATAAATTCGGATTTTCTTTCTGTCGAGGAAACTACAAGAATTGTGTTTGTAAAGAGTCTGATTTATAGAGGGAATCGTTAAATATCTTACGCATTAATTTCATAACTAAAGCTTTGGTAATAACGACACATCGAGTATATATAATACATACTCGATGTATCGCAGAGTATATATAACCAGAAATAGAGACGAAATAAGGGCCATCCATCCTTGGCAACTCATCAGGCAAATGGGCCTTATATCACTTTTAAATATCGCCATCCCCGGAGAACAAAAAGATAACTGCCAGTATCACAGTTTTAATGTTATATCATATTTAAGATTTTTAGGTACCAACACATCTTTTAAATTTTTTTCGTGATTTTTAAGCAATTACTTACGGAACAACAAAATAGTACAATATTATTCAAATTTTCTACCCATACCTAAGTGCACAAGAATAAGGTTATACGATAATATTAAACTAAATGAGTGACGTTTCTTAATATGACAAATGACAATAGTATTATGTTCTCGTAAAAATAATTCCGCGAAATAACGATACACGCAGTTATCATATTTTATTACCGTTTCAAACTATTCGGGCTCTTCGTATAATGAAGCAAAATAAAGCAAAAGTTGATTATCATATCATGGTTTCATTGTAACAGCAAAATAGAAGACCTTTCCAAAAAAATATCTTACTATGTCTACGAGAATAAGATGATATATAATTATTATCTTCGCCACTTGTACTATTGCAACTCATAGAATAAATTGATAAGTCAACTACAAAAATACTTGTTTTCGGCTCAGACACAACGAGAATAAGATGATAATCCACAATATAAATCCAACATGATGATTGATTTTGACTAATTATTTATTATTGAAATATCTCCATTTTGGCTTAACTTACGGCTGTTTCATTTATAATATAGAATGCACAAAAAATATTCTTTCCTTAAAGCCAACTATTAATCTACCTACGTTCAGTATTTAAGAACTTATCAATGAATACATGTTTTTTAATTTTCCTGAAATATCACTTTCCTGCGATTATTATTTTGTTCTCCGGGGATGGCGATATCAACTCACGTTTGCGCTGAAATCACAAATTAGAAAGCTGAAATAGTACAGCGCCAACAGCTGACATGTGTATGTCTCCGTATATTCCAAAAACATTCTGTATTTATTGTAATAAAGATAATAGTATCTCTAACAATGGGGGCTGGTTGATTTGAAGTGAAAAAATTGACGACACCCGTCAATTGTTTCGAATTCGGGCTGGCCAATCGGAGCGCAATTGTCACCGTAATGATTTGGCAGAATAGTTTTCAAACAAATTAAATGACATTTCGTCTCTATTTCTGGTTATATACTCGATGTAACTATACAACAAGGGAGCAAACGAACGCAATTATTTTTCAATACGTTTTAATTAAAACGTAATTACGTATTGCTGCCTCGGCGCAGTCTTAACAATAAAACTGAAACTAAAGAAGATATTAAAAAACCGCTTTTAGGGGTGTTGTAGATCTCGTTTCGCTGATTCCAGATATGTTAATAACTCAATTTCGCTAAAAATTTCAATTACGTTGTTTGTGACACGGACGGCAGTGCCTACTCTGCCGTCCTTTTCCAAATCTTAATTTTCTATCCCGATGTTGACTGAAAAATATGCTGTTAAACAATATAGCCGCCTGTCATATATTAGCTTTTTCTGTAATCCTTCCCTCTGCCTCGGAATCTGAAGTGAAGTAATGATGATTATAAAAAAATAATAATATCATACCGTTGATATTTCTTTTGTGTGTACTTATCAGCATCCTTATCTTGCGGGCACTGTGGTGGATGCCACGGTAGCTCGTGTTCAATGGTCGCCGGTACACCGATCTTGTCAGTCAGTAGTTTGTTCAGTCTGAAATATTACATTTTTACTATAAATGAGTCAAAGAGAATATTTTATCATAGTAAATAAGACGTAACTTTGTACTACAATGGCGTAATAATAATGTGACGACCCTGGCAAATTTAAGTGGTTTCTTGACTAATACTTAACACGTCGTCATGCTAGTTCATCTTACATTGCATCTTACATGTACCTGCTACTGTAAGTAAAATTTGACTAGTCGGGTAAAAAGTCGATATTTAGTCGCAAATATATGTAGATTAAGTCGATGCCCCGCCATTTCAAAGTTATAATGGTCTTTTACTGTCCACGGTGGAATAAGATTCTGCCACTAGCACAATTCTCAAAAATCTGAATCACAAGGATTCCCTCTTTTGATTCTGTCAAAGTCTGAAAAATAATTGAATATCATGGTGGTCAAAGATGATAATCAACAAACTTAAAAAAAAATTAGTACTATTAGGGACTCACCACATGTATTCACACGAAAAAGCCGGTCAGAAAAACCTTTGCGTTCTTGCTATAAGAGCGAAAAAGACGTTGAGCGTTTCGCTTCCACTCGGATCGCCGACACGAAACGCGCAACGTCATTTTCGCTCTTATTACATGGACATAAAGATTTTTCTGACCGGCTTAATGCGAATCCGTGTCGATAAATGTGGTGACTCCATTACTGGACTGTTACTAACAATAAAGTCTGATAGATCCATGACGTAAACAGGTTATTATTAACACCGTGCAGTAGACATGGTGCTTATTGATTTGCTGAAGGTCGTGTTGTATGCCCTTGACATTTTGCCAATCCTCCACTCTATTGTTACGCCACTATTCGGTTTGCAACACAAACATATAACGATGAAAAAATGTATAATTCTACAATAAAAATCAAACAAAAACATTACATAAATCAACCTCTCCTACGTAAAATATCGTATGTCGAAACTGCCAAGCTGAGGAACGCTAAAGTCGCGTGTTATGCTTATTTCAGTGAATTCAGAACTTTAAAACGCTCCCCTGTAAACTTGGCAATTTCGACATACGTTACTTTACGTGGGAGGGGTCGAAATGTTAGACAACATCACATACATACGTAATTCTGTTCGCACAGTAGGTAGGTAACTAAAGCACTTGTTTATGGAAACAGGACAAAGACGGTACCACAAACACCCGGACCCGAGATGATATACAAAAATTTGTTTTCTACACTGCCCGACCGGGTTCAAACCCGGGATCTCAGAGATGGCAACACTATAAAAATTTAACATAATAACCAAACTAACGGATAACTCACATATTTAAGTCGAATTTTTGTTCGACATATTTCTAAGCAGTCCGTGATCCTTAATTAATTATTTAGGTACCAATTAATTAGGAACTAAGATAGTGGGTAGTGTGGATGATACTTCACAAAGTAACTTTATTACTTTAGTGTTTAATCCTGCGTATGACTTTAATAAGAATGAAGCAAACGAGGATAGTTTACGCAGTTTCCGTCGAGTCAATGCCGCGAAATCTCATGATTAAGGACCACGGACTGGTTCGAAACATGTCGAGCGCTAAACTCGACTTAAATACGTGAGTTATCCGTTAGGGCGCGTGAGTTAAGGTTAATAAACGTGGCTCCTTCCGTTTTGTCAGCACGCCTAACTGTGCCAGTTGCTCGCATGCTGACAAATGAATAAAATAATATATAAACTCTGTAAATTAGTTTTAAGATTGATTATTGTCTATTATTAGAACTAAGCAGTCACTCTGTCAGTTTGATTAATTTTTTTTTAAACGAATCTTCTGTCCAGTCACTTATTTGGCGCAGCCGTTAGGATCATAAATGTTAGGATTCCCGTAGATCCTTCTGTGCCCCGATCCGTAGTAAATTCGGGCACAAACACGTCGAGCATCGTGCGTACGACGGGAATCACCGAACAAACAAATTTAATAAGTACGAGGGTCAAGCCAGAGCCAAACAGAGTTCCTGACAAGTAATCCAGACAAGAGCCAATGGGAGTAGCAGCGTACCTGTGAGTAAATCTTTCACTGTCCTTTGAAGCTTTCCTTTATTATCCACTCTTGTAATATAATTACGTGTTTATATAATCACATTTTATTTAAACACTATTGTGTCAAGCGATCAAATTTCGTAAGCACATTTCTAGAATTAGGTAGTTTTTGTTCATTCTATCCATTCACGCTAAATTATTTAATTTTTGATAATGACTGGTATTAATCGGGTACCCATGGAAATGGTGAAAATAATCCCATTATTCGAAGGGGATTTTAGACAATTACCAGTCGGAGAGCGGGATCAGACTAAATCGTGGGATGAGCTGAAGCAATTGTTGTCTCAACACTTTGGAGACCCCAGAACAGAAGACTGTCTGGCTATGGAACTAGAAACTACGAGAGAAAGTTATTCAGAATTTGTCATAGAATACAGCATTAGAAGTCTTTTATTTGCCAAGTTGTCTGAAACCATAAATGATGCTAACTTCAGAGTAGCAAATACAACTCTTTTCAGAATATCCATACCAACAGTGCAGCTGCCAGAAATTAAACAAACCAACCAAAACGGCAAGCAGGGGGATATTCGAGGAATCGACTTCGGTGAAGTGAATAACATTCTCCATAAAATAAGTGATAGTGACGACGAACCGGCACGATAAAAATGCCGTGAACGACAGTTAATTGTGTATTTAACCGAGTTCAAAAAAAGGAGGAGGTTCTCAATTCGATTGTATTTTTTTTTATCCGTAAGTTAGGCGATAACTCTAATTTGTGAACCGATTTTGATGATTATTTGGAAAGAGGGTACCTCAGATGTGATCCCATTTAAATTTGAAGAAAATATTCCACCTCCAAGGGTAGTAAACTAGGGGATTAATGGCATTTGAGGTTGGTTTTTTTAATACTCTGTACTGTTTTTATACTATGTGTGAACAAATTCATTAAAATATACAAGTCACGCCACTTTAAACTGCACGACTACCTGTCGTCACGACATAATGGGAACACACTCTTAGTTTAGTTAATATGTCCGAGTCTCGCGGTGGTTTTCTATTTAAAATACTTAACATAAGTTAGACAAACGACGTGTCATTTGTAAAATAATTCAAATGTGCTAACTAAAGCAAGCATTGTACAATAGTATTTATTATTTAAAGGGGAACATACAGCAAAAATAATATACGGCCTTATGCATATTATTGTAACGCTATAATAGTATATGCTGTAATTATAGTCTTACAACAAGAACCATAAGACCTAGGATGATTTTTTTCATATATATTTTACTCGTATATAGGTACGACGTGGCATCTAATACCGAAACCAAAGTGTCAGAGGTTGACAGCGGATTGAACTTCATGAGAGTCAAAGTCAATGCACCACTCAAGACTAAGTTAACGTAGCAATTATTTATATGGAGTCGGTTAGGGCATAATAGAAAGATCGCATGAACGCGTGTCACTAAGACAGTCCGGCCGTCTGTAGTACCGTGACCGACTAATGGTCGCTTCAGATTTGAATAGCGATGCGATACTGCATTTAAACCAGGTCCACGACTTGTTTGTCCTGTCAGTTTGGTATCATAAAAAAAACTTTATGTTCTCCATGGTAAGGTTACATTTCTTCAAACAAAAATGACAAAGAAAATGCAGCAAGCAGCGCCGCGCACACTAAATTATAATATAATATCGACGTTGAAAAAATAAAACGCCTAACGTGCATTTGGAAAATAATGGGGAGCGATTTAAAGAATTTTTTTCAAGACAAAAAGATCATAAGTCTAATTTTATTTGTTATGTGGAAAAGCTGAAACTTTCTAGTTTTCCGTATAACAAATAAAATTTGAGTTAAGATTTTTTTTCTTAAAAAATGTAATTTAAACCGTACTCCTGTAACATTTTCCATATGTACGTTAGACGGTATTACCTTTCCAGAGTCGATATAGAACGTATCTTGTATGTACATAGTAAAGAACACATTTCTTTGAATGCAATACAACAAAAGAGAAAAACCGCACGTAGGCTACGTGCGCATTCTATCGTCGGCAGCTTGTGCCGCCATGTTTCTCAACAATAAGGAATATTTAATTGGAAGGCAGGCTGAGGGACGTCGGGCTGCATGGCACGAACATTAGAGGTAACAACGCTTTGAGGTAAAAACTCCATTCTACTAAATAAAGTGAATATTTTTCATCGAATTAAAAATAACAAAACCACGTGAATTACTCTTTTATTATTTTACATTCAAGGAAATTTATACTTGTGTTACTAGTGAATAAGCACTATTAAATTACGTAGCATAAAATGCACGCGGCGTTTCTTACTGCATCTTCTTTTTATTTTTTCGTTCAAAGAATGTAATTTAAATATGTAGAAAATAAAGACTATATTTCATTGCAAGCTTTAAAGCAACGCAGCTCTGTGTCGCTAGAACTACCTAAATGGTATAAATACGAGTACCTTTAATGCAGTACTGATACCACAGACAAAGCTATAAAGTATTGTAAGAGAAGTTGTCCTATACAATAGGTATTCATTGAGGATCTTCTGCTTATTGAATAACAAAATTATTTCATCTCGTCTCTTCCAGCTGATCTATAACTAATGTTAAGTAAAGTCATGTACCTTAATCCCTTATTTTCGAATGGCAAAAACACAGGGTAGATAGCCTCCATATCTTCTGGTAGCTGAGATGCTATGTCTTTGCAGAAACTGTTTGTTGGCCAGTTTTCGTCGATGTCGAAGTATTTGGAATGTTGGTCTGCGTTCGTTGGCAAAATGTATCTGCAAATTAAGGTAACGAATCACAATGACTCCTGCTCGTGGCACTATCAACAGTTGGAGAATAAAAGTTCTAGAGTGACAAGTAAATGTTTAAGACGCAGTGTAAAACGGTCTCATAAAAAGGAGTTCATATACACGTGTCGCGAATTGTGAATGATAAACAGAAAATTGAAAATTTATTAAAATAAAATATAATATTTAAGACTTAACAATGTTATGAAACACCACCATAAATATTACAAGTGCTACTACCATTGTTGCACTCCAAAGTAGCAAAATAAGGCATTTCTCTAGGACTTTTGAGGTTTTGCGCGAGATAATTGACACGACCATATGTACAACGCGAAAATCACGGACTGAGGTTAAGTATGTGGAACTTCGCGTACTGTTGGCGCACGTGCCACGCAAACTAAGCACTTCTACTGTATTTAATGTTCTGTGGTCTTAACAACTTAATATGTACATGGTTGTTTGTAAAATACTAACCTAAAATACCTCCCAGGACTAAATTATTAAGATCATAGACAACAATATTTTTTTAAATTTACATATACATCTACATGCATGTAGAAGTGAATTTCTGATAGAGTCCGCAATTAGCGCCAACGAGCGTATCACAATAAACTAGTTGGTTTAAGAGCTCAGCTAAATTGGTCATATTCCTTTAAAGCAAAATTATCTAATTACTTAAGCGATACGCATTATAATTGCCACTGATACTGTAATAAAGAACAGCCACATGAGAGGAACAAGTTCACTAGTATTTCTGCATACAAGGCTAGTATATTACTAAAGTCTTACCTAGACTCCAAGAGATTTTTTGTAAACATAGGGCTACTACACCAAAAATATTCCTTTCGCATAGAAGTTTACTCAATTTGTTCAAAACCACAAGTTAGGGTTTGTTTTGTAGCTAAAATCCATAGTAAATTTAATTGGTTGTGATGTATTTAATTTTACGAAGTTTTTTTTACAAAGATATAAAAAGAAAGAAATATAAGTAAAAAATATTTTACGACAATGGTATCATCGAAGCAAAGAGTAGAAGTTCGAAACAATTTTTGGTTTTGACAGCTGTTCGCCACTTTCATTCGTCTCTTCGTTTCCGAATTCGAATGCACATCCTTTTTCGCTGCGCGAGTGCAATGAAGTTTTTGTTACTAGTTTTAGTTGTTACCTTGTTGTTGTCTGTTATTATCAGTTATTGTTAAGTTCAACAATGTTGTTGTGTTTATATTATTATTTTTTACTTTACGAGTGTCGGTTTGGTCATAGAAATCAGCACTTAAATTGATATTTAGGTACCTACCGCACAAGCACAACTATGCTCCATAACTACCATATCGATCCTTCGTCAAAATTTGTTTTGCATCCCTGACCTGTCACTTTGGCATTGACATATCTGACATTTCTTTGTTTACAAAAAATCTCTCGGATTCGAGGTCAGAGTATACTTTATTACAAAATGGCTGGGCCCTTTACGTTTTACAGCAGCCAATACCTTCGCAAGCAATTAATGTGTGTAAGACAATTCGCAAGCGAACAGAATACAATACTTACAAATGTTCACCAATTGCAAACTCAATGAGCTCATTTTTGGGTTGACTAGATTGTTCCTTTTTATCGCGAGCTTCCTTCTTTTTTTCTTGAGATTTTTTCTTTTTTTCTTCTAATTCTTTCTTTTTTTTATGAGATTCTCTCTTCCTCTCATGAGGGTGCATGAATTTTTCTGTTTCTTGGGCCACTGAAACCATAGTATTAAAAAAGCAGATATTAGATTATTTTCGGTAATTAAAGTTTTTCGGTAATTTTAGTATTTACGAAGTTTCGCTCGCTGTGAGCGATATAGACAGGTTTCTCTAATCACTCACATTACCTTACGTGTTGCAGTCGTATGCAAAAGTCATAAATCTCCGCTTGAACATTAATGGATTCGTATAAGTTCCAAGTGTTACTGCAGAACGTAGCATAAAATTGTCTAATTATGATAGTAAACCGAATAACAACATAAGACAACATATCGCACTCCAACCGAGTAGAGCACTTGTTGAATTGGCAATACTGTACTATAGTAGAAACAGTAGTTCAAATGGCAACACTGAGCTCGAAAGACAGCAGTAGATCTCCTTGTGAAAGAGTTCGTCCAGGGTAGTACTGCCACCTTATCTATTTCTGCCGCCAAGCATTAATGTCAGCATTACCTACTATGTTCCGGTTAAAAAGGGTTAGAGTGCTGGTGAAATTACAGGCACATGGGACTTGTCAACTTATGTGTCAGGGTGACGGGCGCAGTGGCAGTGCCCCTCAGATCTTTCCGATTTAAAGCTCTGAGTGGCACTGCAACTGTTATGGACAGGCGTGAAGCTTACAATCAGGCGCACGACTTGTTCGTCCCGTCACTTAATATTATAAAAAAAGACAATATTTAATGCCACTGGGTGGTCTTTCACTATATACAGACAACCTAACCTGCAGGACTTTAAAACATATGATAATAATAATTTGTGCCAATACTAGGAATACCGCCTCTTCTATTTAAAAATCAATTTTACATCTTTTAGGCCTTGGGAGAGGTAAAAATGTAAAATATATACTCAGTTAAATATACATACATATATATATATATACTCACTCTGGTTAAGATTTATAACAATAGTAGGAGTAGGAGTAGTATAATTATTTTTCAGTTCATCAGAACGGACGACAAATTCCGAAGCTCGACCTTCAAGTTTATGAATATGATCAACCACATTTTTCCAGTGATATATGGCTTTTAGAGCATGGACACCGTTTGCAGATCCTTCATACTTCGTATGTTCCAGCAAATGTTTTATAAAATTTAATCTTTCACCAGTCATTTTAATAGGATTGATGTCTACTTTTAGAAGGCGAGACATCTTTTTGACGTTATCCTCAAATGATCTGTAATCGGAAACTGTAACAAAACTTAATTGATTTAGAATAAAGTAAAATTAATAAATCACTGATTGTTTACGTAGGCAACTCTATAACAATAATAATAAGCCCAGAGTTTAAAATAGATAATAATAATTATTATAATGATAATGTCGTCAACTGTTATCATACCGAAAACTCTTCATAGTACAAATGATAGATCTGGAATCTAAAACGTACATACATACCTCTACAAAAGTCAATTGCATTAGCAACTTGCTCGATAGTCGGCCGCTTCTTTAACATGACCTCACTCCAAAATACACCTGATACAACTTAGGGCGCGTTCCCACTATGTCGTGACGACAGATTGTCGTGCAATTTACAGTGTCGTGGCTTGTATATTTAAAAGTTGTTCACATACAGCACGACACGATTAACTGTCGTTCACGATTTTTTATCGTTACAACGACAAACTGTCGTCACAGTGGGAACAGCTAGAACGACAGTCGTCGGACGATAAAAAAACGTCACGATAAAAACGTGACGACAGATTGTCGCAGCTCCCATTGTCGTCACGTTTTATTTATCGCTGTCCGCACGTATTCTACTCCCTGCCCGCCCTTCTCGTACCCCGCGCCCTCTGCAGTAGCATTGGGTCGTAGCCAGAGATGGGCAAAGAGGCTGTCGTGAAACGATAAATTGTCGTCACGATCTAGTGGGAACAGCTAGTCACGACAGTCGTTCAACGATAAAAAATCGTCCACGACAGGTAGTCGTGATATGGGAACAGACTAGCCACGACAGTCGTCCAACGATAATAAAACGTGACGACATAGTGAGAACGCGCCCAAACTCCACATAAAATCACCACTCATTCTCATTCCATCAGAATAACACAACTGGGGGTCTACTCTCGTTTTTCGTCCGATATCCGTCCGAAACAATTACAGTCAAATAAATAATACTCGTCCAAACCAGAAGAGACAATATCAAGTATGAAGCTTCATTCGCATCATGCGTCTTTTTAACCGACTTCAAAAAAAAGGAGAAGGTTCTCAATTCGACGGCATGTTTTTTTTTGTATGTATGCTACGGCGATAACTCCGGTATTTGTGAACTGATTTTCATGATTCTTTTTTTGTTGGAAAGAGGGTACTTCCACAGTGGTCCCATTTTATTTTGAAGAAAATCATCCACCTCTGAGGGCGGCTGATTACGCATGAACATTCATTTTTATAAATAGCGCCTAAATTTTATTTAAGGAGCAATTTTTTAATGGTTAGCTTTGCTATTCTCCAATACAAGGCGTTTTTCTCTCTCGATATACTTTGAGTAGTGAGAACCGATTTTTATTATCTCCTGTGTAAAGTCCCGTATAGTGGCGAACTAGGGGATATTGTAATAAAACTTAGCAAATAGACGTAATTCCACGTACTTTTGAGGTCGGTTTTTTAGTACTCTGTACTGAGATTATTTATGACAGTAATTGTTTCGTACGGATGTCTGACGGAGAACGAGAATACAGGGCCAGAATACGTGGCTTAGGCCCGTACCGGTTTCCGAATATCCGACCTGAGTCGAGTTCAAGAAAAATCTTCAAAATAATAATAATAATAATAATAATAATAATAATAATCGTACTACTACCTGCTCGATACGGCACGTATTGTTCGCCGATTCTTGGACCTGAGTCCCTGACCCCGGCCGACTGTGCCATAGCAGGGAAATACCGCCTCTCCCATTTAAAAATTCAAAATTAGTCTTTTAGGCCTTGGGAGAGGCGAGAGTTTAAAATAAACATAATAATGCACACACTCATAGCTGCGCACTAAGGAAACCCTGTATCGCGGTTGCCGTGGACATATACCTAGACAATCACAAATTATACCCAAACTCACGAGAGAAATAAATGTAGGTCATACAAATATTTCTCCCGGCCCGGGAATCGAACCTAAGGCCACTGCGTGGCAGACCAGCATGGTAACTGTGCGGCTAAGGAAGCAATTTAAAGTGGATATAATATCGTTATTATTAGACTACTATTTACAATTACTCGCTTAAAAATGTTAAACACAGATGATAGTTTTATCCACTAAATGTCATACTGCATATTTTACAGGTTAGCACTAGATGAGTAACTGAGGAGTTATCAAAGAGTGAAAAATAAAATTTATTAAAATTCAATCTCTGCCTAAACCTAGATCTAGGTGGGTATGCCACCGAGATCTACGCAACGCATGTTAATTATATTATAAGCAATAAAGCGGCTGCCCCAGAGCAATCCTAGTAAGTACTTTTTGTGGCTGCTAGCCAAAAAACACGCAGCCCTTGAACAATTTTAATGTAAAAAAGTAATAGTATTAGGTAGGTAGGAAACCAGTCAACGAATATATTGATGTCATAAAAACATCGACTATATAACCAGAAATAGAGATGAAATGTCTTTTAATTTGTTTGAAAACTATTCTGCCATATCATTACTGTGACAACTGCGCTCCGATTGGCCAGTCCGAATTCGAAATAATTGACGGTGGTCGTCAATGGGTGTCGTCAATTGTATCATTTCAAATCGACCAGTTAACCTGAGCTTTGCTATAATGGAAGAAAATTGCAAAATTACATATTTAATATTTAATTACCGATGAAAAGTGATGAAATATTAGTTTTCTAATTTGTGATTTCAGTGCAAACGAGAGTTGGTATTTGTAAGTGATATATCATGATATGAGAATGTATGTCCCTTATTTCGTCTCTATTTCTGGTTACATACTCGATGCACAAAAATGATTACAACTTATAACTTTTACACCTGCAGCCTATAGGTCAACTACACACAAAAAGCTCTCAGCTGTCTAAGAGTCGTGTACAATAATACAGGGTGTCTCAAAAGAAATTTTATATTTAGTGGATTGATTAAAAAAAAGGAAGCGGTATATAGAAAATATGTTTATTTATTGTTGAAATACACTTTTTGGGAATTTATTTCTTAAAAATAATATCGTCTAAATGTAAACCCTCGCGTTGTTGGCACTCATTTAATCGAACAGTAAAATTACTTATGACTGCTCGACAGGTGGAGTCAGGGATGGCTGCCATTTCGTGACGGATATTTTCTTTCAAATGCGCCAGTGAAGTCGGTTTATTGGCGTAAACTTTAGATTTAAGATAACCCCATAGGAAAAAGTCCATAGGGGTTAAATCTGGGCTACGTGGAGGCCAATTTATGTCACCTCTCCGGGAGATAATTTTCCTGAGAAAATTTCACGAACACGTGGCAGAGACATATTAGACGTGTGTGAAGTTGCTCCGTCCTGTTGAAACCATGTTCTTTGGTTATAGCCAGGAAAGTTTTGCAGTTCAGGTACCAAGAAGTTTTCTAACATCTCCACATAACGCTCTGAATTCACTGTAACTGCACGCCCCATTTCGTCTTCAAAAAAGTAAGGGCCGATAATTCCTCGCGCCGACGTGGCAGCCCATACGGTCACTTTAGGCGAGTGTAGGGGTTTCTGATGTTTGCGTTTCGGATTCGTTGAACTCCAGTAGCGGCAGTTTTGCTTATTTACGTGGCCATTAAGATGAAAATGAGCTTCATCCGAAAACAAAATGTTGGTAAACGTTGAAAATCGCTCAATCACCTGATTTACGAAATTAAGCCTCTGACTGGCATCTTGGGGCTTTAATTCTTGCACCAATTGAATTTTGTAGGGGTGCAGCTTTAGATCTTTGTGCATAATGCGATGTAATGATGATCTATGCACATTTAAAGCACTCGCGCGCTTCCGAATTGAAAGGTTCGGGTTGTCACGAACAGACTGATTAACACTCTCCACGTTTTCTACCGTTCTTGATGACCTAGGTCGCCTGGATTTTGATTTATCCAGCGTTGTTCCAGTCTCTTCAAACTTTTTAACCCAATGTCGAATGAGAGGAAGGCTTGGCGCATCATTTAAGTGGCGAAAACCTCGAATACTGCAGAATTTTCTACGCGCGACAGTTGCCGAATCACCGTTCTTGTAAAACTCTCGCACGCACAACGCGCGGTCTGCTCCCGAGAAACGCTCCATAGCGACTGAATTCCCAAGAGCCAAGCTACCGATTGACATAACCCCCGCACCCCTCAGATACGCTGCGTTCACGCAGTAAGCTAAACAAATATAAAATTTCTTTTGAGACACCTTGTATATACAGGATGCTGTTGCGGCTGCCGCCATTCGCCAACGTCAGGATGTTCGCAGATGCTCATGTAGATGGATTTGCAGCCATCATGCCAGAGAGCGGCATCCTTGATGCGCTGAGTGCGTCGCAGCGGTAACGGCATCGTGAATTTTATTCCAGGATTCATTTCTTGAACTTGGACCAAACTTCTTGTATACACGAAACCCAGTACATACATATTTATAAGTTGTAATTACTAACATTAGTGTGTAAGTTTTTTACTTTGTTATACTAACCCATATAGATAAATAGTCCGAAATAAAGTATTTGAATAAGAATATTACATATTTTATACCCCTTACTAACTTCGAATATTTATGTGTAGGTAAGATAAATAGAAAAGTAAAGTTACTGTAACAGCCAGAATCAAAACGCAGTATGAGGCATTTGTTAGGTATTTGGTTATAGTTATTGCACGAGAAAATTGGAATAAAATTTGATTTTGTTTGACTAATTAAATTAATAAAACGACTAAGATTTTCAGTTTCAATAGAGTTACCATCATACAGGATTATAATTTTCTTAGGCCTAGTTCCCACTACTTTTTCCCGGCACTCGAACTAGGTGTTCACATTAAGCCGGATCTCGCAAGAAACCCGGAGACTAAAGCCCTCACCTCAGTCGAATTCAGACTACTGCACACGATAGACGACGAAATTGTGGTGGTATCTTAGAAGGCTTAATAGAGTACAAAGAAAACATTCGCTACATCCTATTTTACGAGAAAGATATTTAATGGGCCAACTGAGAAGTGACGATTCAAATTTCTTTAATTAATAACATCGTCTTTTGATGATTTATTGGGACTTTTTTCGTCGTCATTCACATCACTCCGGTCTGGGCGTTCTGTCGGCGGTCCGCAGTGACAAACGCTCCGGCAACAATGCCGAGCTTGGCATTCTTACTGGGTCCGATGTAATGCGTATAACTTCATATAAATTGTACAGCTACTAGCCTTTCCGGCAGTTTTACCGATCCGATCGATACTAGGTCTTACATTTTATATACTCTTACGTACTCGAATTGGGACTAATTTTCTTCCATACAAAATTAGTCTTTTAAAATTCACTTCATGTAGCATGTCTGCAAAATGTCATGGTGGCTAACAATAACATTTTGTACCTTAACTTTAACTCTTGTACAATCTCATAACACTTTTTGTACATAATTTTTATGATGTATAATTATATATACATACATATATATAAAAATTAAAAAAATATAATAATATAAATGTACATATATGCTTAAGGTCCGGAGATATTGCAGGCCATCTGATTGTCTCGTTTATACCTATCCAAATATTGAAGTTATCATTAAACTAAACAATGGATTTTCTGCTATTATTACTCGAAATACAAGCATGATAAAATACGTTATTTAGATCCTTGTCCGGTAGAATGTTTAATAAAAAAAATATGTCGTGTTTTTACTTTTTTAAAATAAACAGTTTAGATAAGGTAACGTTAATAAAATTACTGTTGTTATGTATATTCTAAAATTTTTTCATGGATATCTTTACTGTACGACTAATGTTCATTGGAGAGATTTTATCCTTATCATTGATCCTGCGGATTACTACAATAAAATAGAAAGTGTTTGTTTTAGAATTTTTAATTGAGTCTATTTCCGGCTCAGGCAAACTTCTTAACTAATCTGTAAATCAGACATGAGCGCCGTTTTTCCTCGCGCCGCCGCCGCCGACAAATGCAATCGGCGCGCCGTTGAGTTCTATCAGGCGTTCCGATCGTACGCACGCGCACGCTTCCGTATTGTGCATGTGAAAATGCGACGCCAGAAAATTACTTTTCTAAGATAAAACTTTTCTTGTATAAAATGTAAGTTCGCATTTAACCTCCATCTCACCTGATGGAAAGTGACGATGGATGAATGCCTATTCACTTACGCCATGAAAAGGCCCAAGTTATAACGTTCAGGGAACAAGTCTGCAGGCAGGGAATTCCAAACCATAGCCGTTCACCATATAGATGTGGAAGCGCAACGCTTCGTGCGAATCTTTGGAATATCCACAACATAGACGTGGAACACAAGTCTACGCCTAGTCCCCCGGTGATGGAAAGGGGAAATCGGAATTAAATCGTGTAATTCCATCGCACACTCTCCGTGATATATCCTGTAAAACACCGATAAGCTGGCAACTTTACGGCGGTGTACAACGCTCTGCAGCTTCGCCTCCACTAATTCCGAGCCACCTATAATCTTCTTGTCACAATTGTCAATTGAATCAAAAGTGGCCAGTTCGTATGTAACAGAGCCATCCTAAAGGTGGCAACAGTACTCCATGCACGACCGGACTAGTGCTTAGTACAGATGAAGCAACTGTCCCTATCTACCGACCCGAGAGATAGGGTTTTCCGGAGAGACTATGGGCTCGACGGCAAGACCAGGGTACAGCGGGCGTCCGGGCCAAGCCCTCCACCAGTGACACGCCTTTGCGGGCGTCTCTGGCGGGCCCGGACTTGGATATGGACTCGCTGGGGTCTGTGGTTAGCTGCAGAGACGGACATGTTTATATGTCCCGGATTTGCATGTGTCCGGGGCGTCTGTCTCGTGAGCAGCTAGCGCGTCTTAGTAGCGGTCTAGTTGAGGGCCTGTATGCGAGGAGACGTGCGGGACACGTGATTTGCCCTTGAAGTTGGAAGCTATGTCCGGACATTGTCGAAGGACACTGCGACTGGCATCTCCGGCACTCGCCCGGAGAGCTAGTAGAGGATTAGCTAGATATCCTCCGGTCCCTCCAGCCGCTTAGGTTGTTGGGAACTGGAGAGACGTCGTATTTCGGCGCCGGGAAGTGAGCGTGCCTTACAGCTCCGTCACCAATAAGGAGATTTGGTAAGTGGACTCAGAATCGACGGCTTAGCGGTGTGCAACTGCTAGTTGTGCAATGCGCAACGGGAAGTGAGCGTGCACACCCGAGGCACTAGTCTCTCGAAGAACCGGATGAAGTCAAGTGACAGAGGTGTGTGAGAACCCTGTACACCAGGTGATCTGGGGTCATAACCTGAACTTGTAAGGTTCCTGTGCGCGCACAGGTTATAATGTCCTACTCGTGTGCCCTAAGGGTAGGGAGGGTCACTATAATCAAAACAAACGTAGAAAGATATGGTGCTTGTCCCCTGTGAAGTAACGCCTCACCCTGGAAAGGATCCCAAGCTTCATTGCTGCACGTTTGGCCATGGATTCAATGTATCTGCCGAAGTACGAATTAGACGATAGGTACATTCCAAGTAGCTGGAGACATTCGGCTATCGGTATGGATAGGTACAAAAAGTCGGAGTCAGGTCAAAGGGAGAATAAACACGCCTGCGTTTTGGTAACGTTAAATTTGGCATCGCCCCAATCGGAGACTGCTTGGAGTGTCAAATCCAAACGGCTAACTATGGACTCTCGATTAGACTAGATTTCCTCTCCACTGACCCTTGTATTGGTCAAGTACCTATCTACAACTGTGTTATCATCAGCATACGCAAAGGTACCTACCTAGAATTAACATATGATTGATATGCAGCAGAAAGAGAGTTGCAGACAGTACGGAACCCTGAGGAATCTATCGCCATATGTTCGGAAGAGTAGCCTTCTAAGACCACTCGAATCGGACGTTCGCTCAAAAAATCCGAGATCCAATTGCAAAGGTCAGTGGGAAGCCCATAAGACGGAAGCTTACTTAAAAGGTTTGCGTGCCAGACCCTGTAAAAGGCTTTAGAAATATCCAAAGACACTGCAAGTGCTTCGCCTTGCTTTTCTATAGCCTCGCTCCGTATGTGATAGGCATACACAAGAAATCCCCAGCAGGTCGCCCTCGTCGGAATCCGTACTGGCGATCACTGAGGAGGTCGATGTCTTCAAGGTACGATAGGAGACGGTTGTTGAGTACACGTTCCATAGTCTTGCAGAGTGTGGAAGTGACTGAGACAGGTGTATAGTTGACAGAGTCAGCTCTGCTCCCCATTTTCGGCACAGGTTGCACGTTTGCAAGCTTCCACGACTTAAAAACTACACCAGTCTCAAGTGAGACGCGGTACATGCGTAGGCGTGTGAGAACAAGAGGACAACTCAGGCGCACAGTTACATAGGACTAGCACTGGAAATCCATCTGGCCCGCTAGCTTTATTCACGTCTAGATTCCGCAGAGTTCTAAGTACCTCTTTTTGGTGTATGTGAATTGGCGCTATAGTGCAGCCAGCCTGAGGTAAGATTAGATCCAGATGCGAACTCTTTGCAAAGAGTGAGGCAAAAAGATTTGCCTTGTCATCTGCAGTATAGGCCAGCGTGTCGTCCGGCCTCAGCAGAGGTGACATAGGTAGGTGACAAAAGTTAGTGACTTTATAGATAGATAGATAGATAAAACGTTTATTTGGATCTACGGATACATAACAGAAAAATATGTAATACAATAACAAAAAGGAAAAAAAAATAGCAGAGTCGCAGCACTGCCGAACACCCAGTTATGTATGTGTTCTGTAGCAGCGCAAAAAGGCCATAGCTCAGCGTCGGTATTTACATATCTATGGTGTTTACTCAGGAGCAAACCGCTGATTTTCAGCTATAACCTAGAAGATTCCGCGGATACGATAACCAGCTAGCTGACGCCATTTTCATGTTGTATAAATTAAAGAAATAATAATTTCGAAACTAAATAAATACGGAAGATAAACATAATAAATAATAATATTCTTTTAGATTTGCTTTAACTATGTTAACAATATAACCAAATTATAAATTGAATTAAATGTGATTATTATATAAAAGTCAATGTAATTATAAATAGGTATGTTGCTATTACACAATGCTATGTAGGCAATTTTCGCTACTTAAGCAAAGCATTATATTTAAAGATGTTTTGTTTAAAAAATTAATTTGTCAATTTCTGACGTCGCCATTTTCACTACGCATACACAATATGGAAGCGTGCGTGTGCGTGGGATCGGGGCGCCTGATCGAACTGATAAAAAATTGATTACTATAGAAAATACGTTATTTTATTTTTTCCTTTGAAATAGTATTTGTAAAACGGTTTTTGTAAAAACAAACACCGATATACAAATTCGTTTTAGGGTCGCACTCGCGCCGCCGAAACGCCGCCGCCGGCACTTTTTTGTCGGCGCGCCGCCGCCGGTTGGTCTATTATCGGCGCTCATGTCTACTGTAAATACAGTAATTCATTTTTAAAAAAATAAAAGAATGTTTCCTTTAAGTACAATTAGCAATCTTCATGTCTAATTGATTTTTTTCACTCTGTATATATTCATTATCTTGTAAAACAGCTTGAGGTCCTCCGCCGCATCACATATCCCGCGCACCATTTACCAATTCAAATGTCCAGTAAGGCGCCTTAACCACTTTAAAACCTAGCAAGTTTCAAATACTTGCTATGTTTTGAATTGGACAAAGTGACTTACTAGGTTTTGGACTGGTCACGAAGCGGACTAGATGTGCCTTACTAGGTTTTAAGGTTTCTAAACCTCTAGTAAATTGTAGGTTTTGATGTGGCTTTTTTCACTGCAATTTGGTGACTAATTACTCAGGAAGTAGGACTCCGTTAAAAAAATGATTACTAGGTTTTGTTCAGGGGCAGCCGAAAGTATTAGCATGCAATGATTAGATGGAATAATGAATAAAACCATTACCAACGTGAGAAGTGGTACTTAGCACCTTAAGAAATGCAGCTTGAGTTCTAAACCAAACCCCTTCTAGTTCACAATAAGCTGATACTTCCTTGGAAAACTTTTCAATCAGCCTGGAAAAATAAATCTACTGGTAATTTTTATATATATATTTCAGTAGGGTGTGTAATGATAGATATAACAACAAATAATGAATGCTCATGGCTCATTTCTCTATTTATCGATCATAAATAATTACGTAGCCGGAAAATACTGGATATGGGCGTAGATTACATATTATTTAGATTTTTAGCGTAGATTATATACTATTACTTTCCTATACTTCCTTCGGAAGAAAGAAAGGCACAAGCAACAAATTCTAAATTCGTACATAAATGTGTTTAAACATATTTTAGGTTTTCTGATAAAAAGAACAGTTAAAATATACATTTGATATTAAGATAAATTAGATTAAGTAGTTTATTTATGTTATAAATACATACCACGTGTTTTATATAAAAACTTTCATTGTATTTTTCTCTTTTAACTTAGTAAAAAAATATATTCATAAAAATATTATAATTATAGGTCAATGATAACTGCATATAAAAGGCATAACTAATTTCAATGTCACTTTTAATACTTGACTCGTTCTGGAGCCACATGGTGTCTCTAGAACGCAGCTGAGTTTTCATACACCTTTAAAAAAAATATAAAAATTTAAAAGACCTGCCTACCCCGATAGGACACTGGCGTGATTATACATATGTATGTATATAGTACATTATTTAGTTTAACCATGGACCAAATAACTGAAGACGACTGCTAATCGCGATACAAATCAGCGTAATCAGTCAAAGTAATTTGTTTTACATTGACGAGCTGCAATTTATCAAGGCTACTCTAACCGTGACCGTGGGACCTGTAAAGGGCCCGAAACGTTACTTTGTTTAAAAAACACAAATATACGCGATTAAATCCGGTAAAATAGTTTCATTTCCTATTAAAAAAATAATTTCAACTCAGTCAATATTTGAATAATATATGTTTCTGTAATAGTCTGTGTAGGTAGTAGGTTTGTAGATTCTCCTCTCAGTGAATACTGTCGGAATTCACGGGTCAATTTTTGAGTAAAAACGCGTGTGTTCAACTAGACATTGGCGTAATCATCGATTACTTCGATGGGGCCATAACAGTTAAAAGAAGAATAATATTAGAAAAAAAAACTAAATACTTGTATTTCATATTAAAGAGGAATTAGTTGATATCCACAGTCATTTACATAATATAACTACTTCCAGGCTATTGATCAGCGCCATCTAGATATAAGTCGGAATTTTAAACTTTTTCTGAGTTACGATACTACATGTATGGAGATTTTAGACACTACTTATGGTGGGACTTCACATGACTATTTGTATTTGCGTATTTGACATATTTGGCAAACAATCACCATCTGTAGATAGCATGTGTGGCAAAGCATTTGGCTTGTTTGCCTATTCGACAAATGCAGCAAGAAAGAAAGAAAATACATTCAAAGTGCTTTTCCACTGGCGAGGCGAGACGAGACGTGGCGAGGCGAGAATTGAAATCTCGCCGACCTATTTCCACCGAAAATTGCCATCGCGGTCTCGCGTTAGCACTCGCGAGCTCGCGCTGGGGTTATGGATGTGGCTAAAGTACCATGTCCCGCAAATTCGTATTATTAAATATGTTAACAAAAGAAGAATCAGGTGAAGATACTGTAAAAAGAAATAATCACGTTGTAATATAAGCTGTTTGTACCCTCTAGGATAAATAAATAAATAAAAATAACTTTTTTGAAAATAACTTTTTATTATATAGTCTTTTATCCCAGGGTAAGTATTACGAACTAGCAAAATACACATAAAAAATTTACAACTGGCGCTGGTATGTTTACATGCAACTATAATGTGTATATACGTTTTCGAAAACGATGCAATGTTTTAAAAGTAGTTACATAATTATGATAAAATCACAGTCCTAAAATCGTGTCATTTTAATGCATTTATAAATATATGATATGCATTGTACAAATATTTACGAAAATGATATGAATACATGTATGACACCTGCCCCCGTAGCATGGCTACGCATGATAGTCGCGACACGCGCGATAAAATTGAAATAAGCGCGCGCTATTGGCTATCTAAATTAGATCTGATCGAGACAGCCAATAGCGTGGCTTATTCCAATTTTATCGCGCGTGTCGCGACTAACATACGTAGCCATACTACGTGGGCAGGACTATAATATATATTTTTCATTGACTGCAGTTTGTTTATTTCTCTATGAAATAAAAGTATACTATTATTTTTAAAATGGTGTCGTGATTCCATATTTTTGAAAACCGTACAAGGTAAATTTTTTGACATATCTAATATTTACGTAATCTCGAAAATGTGTGAACGTTGACATTTTAATGCACGCGACTGTATCCCACAATCGATTGACATTATTAACCATCGCGAGCACGCGCGATATCGTACGAGACATCGTGAATCGTGTTTCTGTAGCAGAGTTAATAAAGAAATCGTATTTCCTTTAAACAGTATAATGCTCTATGTAGGCAGCAATGCGGTTCAATGTTACATCAACAAATATTCCAAATCTCGTCTCGCCCATCCTCGTCAATCCCGACCATTTCCACCGAAGATGCGCTAGGAAATATTGATATTTTGCCATACAAGTTTTAAAAATCGTCTCGCCTAGTCTCGTCTCGCCTCGCCGGTGGAAATACGCCTAATATAAGAATAATATTATTATTTTATGCTTAAAGTGTATTGCACTAAAAAGGCCCAACTCAGCAAATACTGCAGAGCCACAACGCTGGTTTTCAGTGGAAATTTTCAAAGTGGCCGATTTAAAAATAAAATAACAAATAAAATGAACAAGAAAATAAAAAATGTGGACGCGAATTAAAATAAGTGCAACATAAATAAGATATATATAATTTAGAAAAATAAAATTGCCATATTGCCTACAGCGTTGTCAAATAGTTCACTCTGTCTTCATGTATTTTATGTTTCTCGGTTGCGTTACACAAATAAAATTTCTTGCACGTGTATTTTGCAGTATTAAAATGTGATCTCTGACTTTATTTTTTAAAGTATAAACAGATTGTGAAGAAGCAAATACCAAACTTGCTTTACCGCGCGCTGATCGGTTTCTCGGCGCACTTCAGAGGAGCCAAATAGGCAAATACGCAAGTAAACCGTCTACACTGTGGTCATATTCATTATTTTAACTGCTCATTTGGCTCCATGCGTAGACGGTCGTATTTGTCAGTTTCTGTATATGCGTCTGTGCGCGAAATATTTTTCCAATTTTTCCAAGAACAACAAACACCCAGTAGCGAACACAAGTTGTCTTGTGAAGTGCCGCCATTAAATTATTGGTCCATGGTTTAATAAATAGTTAATACGCCTAAGTGAATAAAATAGCAATCATAGCTTGATAGCGAAAATAGTGTCTAATAAAATAATAATATAACGCACACACACACACGGTGCCATGGACGCACACATAGGCAATCACAAATTACACCCAAACTCACATGAGAAATAAATGTAGGCCATACAAATATTTCTCACGGCTCGGGAATCGAACCCGGGAGCACTGCGTGGCAGACCAGGATGGTAACCGTTTAGCCACGAAGGCAGTTAATGTATTGAATGTACGAAGACAGTTAATAAAAAAAATGTATTGATGAATTACAGAACTTCTCAACTACGTGAAGTATCAATTCTATAAGAATCTATTCCATGTGCTTTATAGTCTAAAAGTCTGGGCACACCCCGGACCATACCCTGAACGGGATTGATTGATACTATGAACGTATTAGACACGACCTTATGACCTACGACCTTCGAAAAATGTCTATACCCACTATGCTACTGTGTTGGTCGATGAACGAACGATCTTGTAGGCGCTGTTTCATAATAATTTATATAACGAATATTTTTTGCATGTTCTGATACGGTTACGGTCTTGGTATGTAGTATATATAACGGTGTAGTAGGCAGAACCCAAATACCCCTCACTGCGCTCGTCATCGCACCTAAATTTAACGGTGGGATTGTATTAATACACTATAGATCAAGTTCAAGGCGTCCGTGTATCACTAAGATGCTCGTTCGTCCTAACTGTAAAACAAATTTCTTTTTTAACGAGAAGAAGTCTTTTCGTGCAACGCAGCTGTGGAACAGACTCCCTTTACATATCCAGTCTAGCCCGTCTATCGCTTCTTTCAAGAAAAGGTTGAAAGCGCACTTTCTGACTGAACTCTCTTAGTAATCATCGTGTGGTATTAGTTTTTACATACTTATTTATGTAGATATGTACCTATGTGTATATATTACACTATTTACATATTGGTGATATTTATTATGATTAATTATAATACTTATGTAAGTAATGGTATTTTTTTTATGTACTTTATTTTATTTCTTCCGCGCTCTCTCTTACACGCTATTGCCCACTTATAAACTTAGCTCTCACTGCCCTGGGTTGTTTGGAAGAGATCTCTTTTAGAGATAAGTCCACCTTTGCTCACTTTCTGTTAATATAATATTTCTGTTGTACTTATTTGGTGCAATAAAGAACATTATAGGTAATCAATGAATGGTATATCTAAAATGTTTATAATACCCAAAGTTATTTCATATCAAGCAAGAACATGTCAAATGTCTTCATATACCATAAACTAATTTTATTCCTTAAGCATTCTTTTGAACAAAAATATATCATTTGTTGTTATATAATTTGAACCACACCCATTACAGTATGAATTTTGGTTTTCATTTGGTTTCAGACAAATAAATATTCATGTTCCTATTATGGAAATACTAGAATCTTTTACAAAGGTATCAATCAAGAGCATTTTCCGCAGGGAACATAATAAAGTTTTTCCGGAGCCTTAATATCGACTCATCCATAAAACAAAGGCCTATGTGCAAGACTGCTTATTCTTAGAACATTGTACATTTCGTTGTTCTTCTCTATGGATATCAGATCGACCGGTGTTCGATTTTATATGTCCGAAACGAAATAAGATATAAACATTATGAAAAGACCTTATAGATAGGCCTTATTTTAAATAACGAAATTATGTATTTATCATATTTTCGCTGTATAACCACATCAGACTCTGTTCTTCAGATGGGTCATATTATGAAAAATGGAATGTTTATTTTAATTCGCAACAAGTAAAGTTTATATAACAAGATTTTATATATTCATAAAATCGCTTAGCAGAAATAAATTGTACTAATAATAGGGTATTTCTAAAAATTTGTAAACAGAATCGAAAGTCGAAACTCAGAAATAAGGAATTCGAAAGAAATGACAACATTATAGTATATGTGACGTCACTTTACATAATAATGGCCCGTTTGGCATAAAGGTATTTTAACCAAGAATATAATTGGTGTTAGTTGAGACGATGAAAACTCATATATCATCCATTAACACACCCAATATTATTTCAATGCGCTATAATTCGCAAAAACAAAACTTTAATAACTTTATCTAGTATACTCACGCCAAAGCAGCATTCAAATGATCCAAAAGTTTCACAATGCAATGCACAGCATGTCGGTACAATACTGGATGTTCGAAATCTGGCTTAATAAGCAAACTCATGTTGTAATGTTTCACTGCCTGTTTGAATTGGCCTTGGACTGCATATGCATGACCCATTACATAATGATTCAAACAAAGTCCAAGGTTGTGCTCTATGGATGCTTCAAGGACAACAAGTGCATCTGTACTAAAGCCTGAATTATGAAATATGGTTCCCATGGTTAAGAGTGGAATGTCCTTGAAATCTCTGTAAAGAAAAAAATGTATCAATGCACATATTTCAGTTAACAATAAATCTCTAGTATAAATAAACCCATATCTGACTGCTTGGAATGAATTGATAACTATAGGGCCCAGACATAGTGTTAAACATAGATAGTAAGAAGAGTAGTAAGTAGAAAAGCACCTTGCTTACCTTGGAGCATGAAACACAGATCTTCTAGCACATTCCATAGCCATACTTGGATTTCCTTGATATCTCCAATACATGGCAGCAAGATTGTAATGCAGCCAAGAAGACGTATTTCGCTTAAGTGCTGTTGCTAGCCAGTGACCATACTTTTCCATGTTTATATGAAAAAAATGGTTAACTTGGTCAGCAATTACTGGCTCCAGATGAGATATTAGATGCTCCCTTGCCTGCATACCCTGGAATTAAAGAATTATTTAATCTTAGTATATAATATGCAGTGTGGCCCCTTTGCAGTATTCCAAAAATTTTTTTTAGTTAGAGGACATTGTAACGACCCTTTTAAAAAAACATTAGTTCCGCGAAAATCAACAGTATAAAAGTTATGATTTTTTTAAATTTACTTTTTGAATTTTATCTGCTCTTGTCACTAAAACAAATCTAGTTTGAAAACTATTCAACTAAACTAATTGAAATTTGGTATCGAAGTGTAACCATGTAGCTAACATGCAATAAGCCATTTTTGTGTATGTTCTTAGATTGCGCCGTTATTATAGACCTTTAGTTTTTCTTTTTATTTGTAAACAAATGTTCAGGAATAAAATTTGATATATCCTGGCTGTAAAAAATGTACAATCAGAATTTGCTAATTGCTTTAAAAACGACGTTAAGTATTTTTAGTTAATTTCTCAAAAGAATACACTAGTTCAACTCAGATTTATCTTAATAATTCTCAAACTCGTCTCTAATGATCATAATGTAGATGAAAAGAAAATATTCAAACAACTAAAATTTAGCCGCACTGATACATAGAACTTTCATTGTTGTGTGCATGTGTGATATAGGGATGTACGAAGTTTGTTTTGAATCAATTTTTTGGATCGTAATGGATCACATGCCTCTGAATCGATCTTCAGATGGCATCATATGGACTTGAATCGATTGATGTTTCATAATTTGTATTTATATTTATATAAAACATATTTTTTATATTATATAATTGCTATAATCAAACGTACATAATTATTTTTTTCACATTTTACAGAAATCTTTGACATCCAAACTTTTCAAAAATAATAATTTTGACAGCTATGAACAAAAGCATGGAGAACTCATTTTAAATGCCCTAAATACTGCTTTAAAATAATCCTTCATTACTTGTTTAGCACCATAAACAAAGCAGATAAGTTAAATAGTTTTTGTCTCGAATTCATCTAACTTCATTGAGATTATACGAATACCTGTTTACTGACCGACCATGACAAATTAATAAAATGAGGCTATTGTTTAGATTATGAATATGATCTAGACCATTCAATTTGGCTTTCTATTGAAAATCACATTGAAGTGAATCAATACAAAAAAACTCTAAATCGTATACTAATCTCTCTCTAATCGTTCACTTGAATCGATCTTCATAAAAATCGAACCATAATTTGCATCCCGAACTCATACACAACACATTTAGTTAAAATAACATTATCAGCACAACTCTTTTCAAATGCTATCCAATTACAATTGTACACAGCATATGCAATGAAAAATAAATTATACTATAATACACAACTGATTAAACATGAAAAATACGAATATGTAAAAATCAAGTAAATTTGAACATACTGTAATTACAAAAATAAAAAAGAAATTACAAACAAACCTATTCTTACTTATATACTTACTAGTAAGTGGTCATAGGTAACCATGCTGAAACTAAGTGAAGACAACTTCTTGCAATCTGGGATCCGAGCCTTTCCATCATAACTCATTTTATCGAGCTCATATTCTTCCCAGGCTACTCCTTGAGAAATTGAAAATTGTGTTGTGTACCAATCTATTTGATACAGTGGCACTGATTCTTGACAATGTGCATCACTACCCAAATACTTTGCAATGTCTAATTCTGTACGAATAAGCTTCCACATCTTCTTTAGCGCACGCTGCTTTGTTACCAGCTGTTGGTAAATCTCTACAATTCTGTTCCATCTAGTATCCTGTTCTAGGAGGTTTATTACGTCACTGGTATCCTTTAACTGGTAGCGGGAGCCCTCCTGAAAGGCAAACGAATTTTGTATAATAGAAAAGACATTGGCATTTAAGGCGCTGGTTTACGAGAACAAAGAAAGAGTTTATATATATTTTTTTTCATATAAAATTGTTGTGTTAGGTGCAATTATAAATGAAGGACGCATAAAACAGGAAACCCTTATCGTACTACTGGTATAATCCATCCCTCGTCGTTCAGAGCGTAGTGTTCGGCTTCGGTGACTATCCGGTGTTCCGACTGCACTCTCGTAAGATACACGCCCACCATCAACATATACACTACGAATTGCATTATGCTAATGTCTCCAAAACTTTTTCATTGAAAAATCGTAGTACTTATTTCAAAAAAAGTAATTATTTCTCATTTGATTCAAAACTAAATATCTCTCGATTTTGCACTATTTTGACAATTGACATTTTTGTATTTATTTGTTTAATTAATTAATCGACACGATGAGCAAATTAGATAGCTAAATACGAAACCATATGACGCTATCTCTTTCATACATACTATAACGCGGCAGAGCTAATGTAATGAATAAGTCATGTAGAGTCTGAAATAGAGATTTAATTTTAGCTACATCGGGTTTTGAGTTTCATATTTATGTAGTAAAGAATATAGTACATTGTGTATTAAGGGCGATAAATAAAAAAATACTAAAGACAGTCCATTATAAGCCCGAAGCCAAAGGTTAAGTGCTTCAATGAATCGAGCTTTGGAATTTTTTTACCGCCCATGCTACATACGTTTTTCATCATAAATTTGTGAGGAAATAAATATAATAATAATTTATTGTTTGTATGAATAGCTAAACATCGCTTCACTACACAACAATAATAATCACAGACTTTGACCTTTAAATAGGCATTATCTGTGTGCATGTTACATCGTCGACCTCATCGTTACTTTCCATCAGGTGAGATGGACTTCAAATGCGCACTTATTTTTTATATGTAAAAAAGAATTTCCAAATGGCGGGTTTTTTGTTTATTTTTTTGTTTATTTAAACAGATGGCCGCTATTCTTCATGGATTATTATCCATTTGTTCGAATTGTATTCAATTCGAACTAAAATTACTAATACTAAAACACTTATTAGCACAAACTAATAAGAGATCTATTCGATTTCAAGGGAGGGCCCTCGTCAAGTGTGGACTAAATAATACTCATAAAAAAGTAGCTCGAGTTGACTCGTTGTGGGGTAACTCGAGTTAAATAACTCGACTCGCCCATCGCTACCCTAACGTAAGTTTTACATCGAGTACCTACTATCAGCACCGCTATGCTATCGCCAAAACTCAGACATTCAGAATTTGAAACACTATCTTGATAGTGATTGGTCGTAGTTTCTATTTAAAAAGAAGTAACAAATTTTGAACTGATAACATAATTGAAACTTTACCCTGTTGGCATATCATTAAAAGTTCAAAACCTACTATTGCAAGTTGTCGTAACTTGCAATAGTAGGTTTTGAACTTCGTTTTGATTTTATATTGAAATTTCAATGGATGTGCGCCATCTAGCGGTTAATAGCTGAACGACGAAGAATTCGGGAAGTTTACTTTGTTTTCCAAAAAAGAAGCGACCATATTGAAACGACATAAGGTTTACTTTAGCAAAATAATTCATTTTCTATGATTATGTGTTTTGTGGGAGATAATTGACGTGGCCATAATGTACAAATAACAAAAATAAGCAAAGCTAAAATGGCGGACTGAGCCAAGTACGTGGAACTTCCCGCACTGTTGGCACACGTGTCACGCAAACTAAGCACTTCTAACAAGCGCAGCCGGCGAGGCGCCACTATCCCAGCTTCGTCCCAGCTGATGTGATGATGCGAGTGGACACCTGAATACTGAATATCTCCAGATGTCAAAATTGTCAATTTTATTGTGTACTATATTTCTCTGATGTCACGTAATTATTATTTTTGTAAGAAATGTGCACATTCTCCATGACGCGTAGGGACACACAAAAGGTTACAATTAAAAGCTTTTCTGTATTTCTTATGGTCAGGCTACAAAGAGAAGTGTTCCAGGCGCGGGAATTTTTGTAATGTGCGACTGTAGGTATATGTACCCCACCACACTGAAACGCGCGGTCGAAGCGCACAAACAACACGCGACAATAAAGGCCCGCTCCCGGAACGCTTCTGCAGCCACCTCTGTGTGGCCAGAACATTATTCCTCTGTTGCAAACATGGATGCAGGTTTAACTAACATGAACCACCTTTCAAAGTTTGCTTCAGAATCGTAGTAAGCAGCCTTAGTACCTATTTGTTTTTGTCTTTGAACCATCTGTGTACATTTACGAAAGTCTGGCTTCTCATTATTTATCAAATACAGAAACGCCTTATTAGTCACTATTTCAAACAAATTTTAGGTATATATGTACTTGCCTGAGCTTTTAAAGTGCTGATATCCCATTTTCCCAATGATCTTTCATGTTACATACATATTTCAGTTCTTCTAAGTGTTCACTTTGTAAAAGAGCATTAGAGTTTTATATAGGTACTTGTATAATTTTTTATGTTTTCAAAAAAGGAGGAGGTTCTCAATTCGACTGTATGTTTTTTGCATGTACCTATGTTACGCGTTTACTCCGGTATTTGTAAACCGATTTTGATGATTCTGTTTTTGTTGGAAAGACGGTACCTCCATAGTGGTTCCATTTAATTTTGAAGAAGATCATCTACCTCTAAGGATGGCTGATCACGCACGAAGATTCATTTTTATAGATAGCGCCTAAATTTTATTATAAGGAGCAATTTTTTTACAATTATTTTAATGGTAGATTTTGCTATTCTCCAATTCAAGGCGTTTTTCTCTCAATACACTTTGAGTAGTGACAACCGATTTTTATTATCTCCTGTGTCAAGTTCAAGTGGCGAACTAGGGGATGAATCCGGGTTTGCACGCTTTCCGGTAACCGATTTCAATAAAACTTGACAAATAAATGTAAGTCCACGTACTTTTGAGATCGGTTTTTTTAGCATCTACTCTGTACTAAGATTATAACATACAATTTTTCAGTAAAATACTTACTCAAATCTTACCAAAATAGGCTGCAAATTCTAATGTGTTTATTGGTGTAAAGCAAATAGCCTCAGTAGTAATTCTTAATCCTTTGTTCTGAATATTACAAATGAGACCTATATACTTATTTATATAAACTACTAAGCCATAGTCATAATGACTTCTATAACTATAGCTCCAAGTTAGACTAGCTAAATGTCTTATTATAACAATAGATTTTTGGATATTACCTACAGTATTATGTACATAAGACTGTAAGTTTAATCAATAATAAATTTGTACCTAAAAACTTATTTTCTTCTACTGTTTTAATATTTACAGACCTACTCGTATATGTAATATGTACCTATACAGTCATAGCAATATTTTTTTATTAAATATCATGACTGAGGTTATAAAAGACTGAACGGTAGTGTCTTGGAACTGGTACGTAGCAGTTCCAAGACTCTGAAGAATCTGTGTATTTGTCATGTATAATATACAAACAGACAGACCAAAGGCGATAGAGTCGTTCCTTGTGGCGCTCCTGCAAAAGCTGTCCCACATCAATTTCCACAAAATATCTACTCTGTTTCATAAGTTTTTTTAGTAAGTATCTAGTCTTATTACTTTGTGGAAGGAGAAATAAACGATTATTATTATTATTAACTTAGGATCGTGTAATAACAATTAAATTTGTTAAGAACTGTTAGCGAGTAGAAAAATTCAAGTATATAGCTCAAAGTCCCCCGAAGCTAAAGCACAAATTGTAAATTACGACCAGAGATAATTGAGGTGAAAGGTCACCATGTTGTCTATGAAAAGAATATTCAATAGTAAAATTTTGCGCGCGCAAAAGTACCGGGAAAAGAAATAAGAAAGACTAGCTTCAAAACGAAAACTTTTTTCTTAAAAGTTTTATGGCAAATAGATATTTTACTTTACTCTCCTTCTCTACGTACTCTATGTCTTTACGTTTACGACTTACATTATTCGACCAAATGCTATTGAAATAAAATGGTTTGCAGAACAGAAAATATAAATATCTTCTATGATTAGTCGAGGATTTGTTTGCGCTAGTTACTTTTGCGAAATACGAACACACATAACTTCAGTTTTATTTAAATAAACAGTAAAACTAGTTCAGCAAAAGCGCATCTGCAATGACATACGTTTATCGATATCAATGCATATAATATGCGTATCGCTTGCATAAAGAGAGTACGAATTTAGGGGTGATCAGATCAGGGTTGGCGGAGGCCTATTGCGCATGTCCAAATAACCTCATTTAACCCACGCCTCCGGGCCATCTACACGCATTTTCTCATTGTAGTTTTAGTGTTCAAAAATCTTAGCTTATGCTAAGGGAAAATACGTAGTTCCAGTTTTGATCAAATAATGAAAAGTCGATACTCAAGTGTAATGCATTTTATCATAAATTTAAACTCGTCACGTAGATGTTAACAGTACAATGATCGTCGCATTTAATGTGAGATGAGACATGGTGTTGTGATTGTGTTGTTTAAAGTACAGAGAGAAAGAAAATGGTAACGCTGGAAAATAACAAAGAAGTACAGTCGCCTCCAAAATTGGACAAGCACGGCGAGAATCGAGCAAACGATTTGTGCAATGTAATTAGGACTGTAAAAATACTCGAATATAAGGTGTGTATGTGTAACTTGCCCACAAGCTAGCAAACATTTAACAACATTTAAGTGATATAATATGAATTATCTAGGTACATTCTGTTTTCTTGCGTATAATATTTCTTTAGCTCAGCTGCTACGTCAGACGAGTTCCGAAAACAAATTTTATTTACTAATGTTAAACCTACTTTTAATGTGGTTACCGTTTACAATTAGATATTTCCATAAACCAACTGACACTTAAATAAGTAGGTAGGAAAACAAAAATCTGAAACCTGTTTGCATAAAATTAATTCCGTTGCAAAAAACCTATATTTCGTATATCAAGTACATTGAATTTAGTCTGTGCATATACATGCATAAATTACAAAATTAAATGAGTGGTTAAACAAAACATATTCGACGGAATAGTCGTACCTACTTCTTAAGTAACAGGGTCGTTTACAAAATAGTTCCTTTTGTGACTTATTACTAAAGTTTATTCATAAAAATGCTAAATTTTATTGTGAACAGGACATCATCACATCAAGCGTTTCATTGGTTAAAATGATTACACGGCAACATTGATGTAGTCTACGATTTGTCAATTTGACCTGGTAGACACGTCTCAGATATTTTTAAACCATCTTCCTGATGAATTAGATGCTTTTGGGATAGAGTGCTATTCTAGAATATCATCGATACGTACACATATTATGAAATGTAGAAGACATGTCTTAAACTTTAAATTCATGGCTTTTTATAGATTTTCTTCTTACAGTAACTATGATTTTAGTAGGAACTTTGCAATAGTATGTTCCTAGTGTCATAATATCGTTCATCATATGTACATTTTATATTTACAGGGTGTATTATGGACGTGTGGTCTTCGGGAGATATGTCTGACTGCCCTCTGGCTTCCATTAGGTGCTTTAATATTTTGTTACGTCACAGCCTCTATGTTCCAAGCAGATGATATTCATGAAACACATTGTAGGGTAAGTTTTATTATAAGTCCATTTGCATTTAGAACTCAATAAGAATCACGTAAAATTCACTAGAAAATTCAAAGCCACGAATCATGTTACTTTAATCACACTGTTAAGATTATTCCCAATTGCATTGCACAGACTATAGTTACTTTGGAAACCGGTGGCGTTATTATTGATCTTTGACTTGGTGTGCATTTAGCTCTTTAAACTTCCACAGCCCTGTGCATGTGGAAATGTAACCAAAGTTTGCTTTTCTTTCCATCTAAACAGTACTCTCTTCAATTAGCACTTGCTCTACTTGCTCATAAAAAATACATAACAATCCATTAATATATTTTTAACCGACTCCAAAAAAGGAGGAGATTCTCAATTCGACTGTATGTTTTTTATAATAATATTAATAAGATAACTCCGGTATTTGTGAACCGATTTTCATGATTTTTTTTGTTGGAAAGAGGGTACCTTCATAGTACCTTCATCTCTAAGGGTGGCTGTTCGTGTATGAAGATTCATTTTTATAAATAGGCCTACATTTTGTTATAAGAAACAATAATTTTAATGGTTGATTTGGCTATTCTCCAATTCAAGGAGTTTTTCTCTCAATTGACTTTGAGTAGTGAGAACCGATTTCTATTACCTCAAGTGTCAAGTCCCGTATAGTGACGAACTAGGGGAGGAATCCGGGTTTGCGCACTTTCCGGTAACCGATTTCAATCAAACTTATTATTACATGTAACTTATTGCATGTAATTCCACGTACTTTTGAGGTCTGGTTTTTTAGTACTCTGTACTGAGATGATTACAATATCAAGCGACGGAATGAACAAATCGTGCACCTGGTGGCAAGCTGTCACGCCTGTCCATAACAGTTGCAGTGCCACTCAGAGCTTTAAATCGCAAAGATCTGAAAGGCACTGCCGTTGCGCCCGTCACCGTGAGACATAAGTGGATATGTGTCTGTAATTTCACCAGTACCTTCAAAACCTGAACGTAGTAATCTGAGCATTACTGCTTGGCGGCAGAAATAGGCAAGGTGGCAGTACTTGCCTGGACGAACTCTTTAAACGTACTTTATTAACTTCGAACTCTTAGAACGACGAACGAACAAGGAGCTCTACTACTACTAATTATACTATTATAATACATTTAGAAGAATGTAAACAAATTAGATTCTTCTTACTTCTCCTTCCTCTTCATTTAACAATAGGTACAGGTTATTTGAAAAATACTAACAACCTTGCAGGACTTTATTACTAACATCATAAACAGCAACGTTTGTCCCATTACTTTTTAGAAAACATAATAAGTTTATCGATAGTAAGCTTTTATGTCTTTGTTGTACTATTATGACACTTTTTAGATACGTATATGGTAGCAAGATAGTAAGTTCAAACGTGTAAATGTCCGCCCTGACGACCCCCATCCCTGCTCCTGCGTTTTGCACTAGTATTTATTCGCTAGAGTTATCACCGTTTAGTGCGATATACTTAAATACGTTTGTTTTTGTGCGAAAGTAAAATCTGATCAATAATTAAAAGTCAGTTTAGTAATATGGTCTAGTGAGGTTGTTTTTTGTATAACCCATATCGTGTACAAGTTTTTTTTCTCTAAAGACATTTGTTTCAATAATTAACAATGATTATTAGCTAAATTATGGTCTGTTCAAATCAATACAAAAGTCTAATGTAGTTTCAACGGGCGAAGCAGATCGCGGGCTTATTAAAAAAGATTTTGTTATTAACACGAAACCATGAAACGAACAACGTTTGTTTATAAGTTTCGGAAATTCGAAATATACAGAATAATGTTACCGTTTTTTTAAAAGTCGTCAAATGAAAGTTCTTCTATTTTTGGATAAGAATTAAGAAAAAAGCGACTGTTTTCTGCATCTTGCGTCTTAATACCTATGTAATTTTTCTTGTAAAGAAATTCGGTATAATCGCTTACTACGATATTAACTAGAAGAAGAAGAAGCTGGTAATCCAATAAGGAACCAGTCTGTGAGAGTGCCTATTCAGTAGGATTGTAATGTAACCAGGAGAGTAGTAGTAGCCTCCGCAGCCTTCGCAGTCTCTTACTTAGTAAGTTTAAAGTTCAAAGTTCAAAAGGGTTAAGAACTAGTAGTAATAAATCCAGTTTTATAAATATTTATTCCAGTTTTAACAATATTTATGATCTTTAAAATATTTATCGTACAAGAGATTTTTAGTAACTGGTAAACGGATTGAAAAAATAAGAAGAGAAGACGTATTCGCTGCCGCGATCGGGCAGGGAGTGACGGTTGAACGAAACCATCAGAATGCGATGCAAAAGAACTATGGTACAATTCAAAATTTAAATTTAAATACGAGTGGCCAGGAATCGGAGAAAGGCGATAAAAAGGTGGGAAGACGATGTAAGGAGGTCACACCGTCACAAGTCTAATGTCAAACCACTACAGTTAAACAGTCAAATGAACAGACTCGCAGTAATTTTATTAACAAGCGAAAGATTTTCAAGCGATAGATATATATATCTAAGGCATTAATGAACGCCTATCTTCGTAACAAGGTGAAAAGGTTAGGCCACCAAAAAACGTGCAATGCTGAGCTAAATACTAAATGTTATAGATATCTATTTAATGAAGCTGGCCAGAAATGTCCATGTCCGGCGGTTCGAACGGAAACGAAATGCGCAAAAACAACGCTCTTATTGTATGGATATAAGGCATTTTTTACTCTTTTATTTTATAAGTATTATTAAAGATTAACATGAGTAATTGAGACAGAAATGACTAATTTTAAGGTTACTTTTCTATACCTAATTTCGGTGGCAATTTTTATTATTTAAATATTCTAGAATAGTATCATGAAACATTATTTAATATTCGAGTGTAGTAACCCAAAATATTATTTTATATTTTACGATAATATACTCGAATACTTAAATAATAATAAAAATTTACACAAATATATCTGTAAATTTAAAATTATTCAGGTACCTGCGCTACCTGTAACGTTAAACGTTCATATAAATACCTATAAAACATTTTACATCTACTAGTCTACGTGTTAAGGTCGCTACCGTCACGCAGTCGCTATCGACAATTTCATGGATATTTGGCGGTCGCTTTTTCAAATGCAATTTTCAATATTTATCGAAAAACTATAGAATTCAATTCAATCCACAGTAGCTTATTACAGAGGTAATTAATTATCTATTTGGAGCTAATTATTGGATTTGCTCGGCAGTGGGATATTACAGACTAGAAAAAAGTTGTAATCTATTTTTCAGTTGGCTGTAGGTACCATACATTATCGAACGTCACTTTAACGGCCAAACGCGGAGAGTGTAAATGAATTTGGGTTTTCGCCAAAAACGTTCAGCAATTTGCAAAGACTAAAGTTTTCGTCGAACCATCACTTTCTTTACAGAAATAAAATTCCTTTCTACAGAAAAGTTTTCTACTTCAGTTCATAGCGACTAATTTGTACTAATAATTGTAGTGTAGTTGTAGAAGGTTCCTAAAGGATATAATAATATTGATAAAGCGTTGGTTATTTTTAATCTCTGAAGAATTCTGAGGCTTGTTTTGTCTACCTAATTTCGGTAGCAATTAGTTTTAATATTCGAGTATATTATCGTGAAATGTTAAATAACATTTCAGGTTACTGCACTGAAATATTAATTATTAATTCTTCATGATAATATTCAAGAATATTTAAATAATAAAAATTGTCACCGAAATTAGGCAGAAAAAATTAACCTGAAAATTCCTCCCCCTCACAATAATAATTATAGTCAATACACTAAAACGATCACCTAAAATTAAAATCATTTATTAGTTTTATAAAGCAGATTGATTTTTTAACAATAAATTTGTGTTTTATATTGACACTCTTCTCACATAGAAAGATAATGATTTTTGTGTAAAAAGATAAAAATATTATACAGAAACATGCGTAACTTAACGTGTACATTTTGATTCGTAATTCGCAGAGTGCGAAGTTTGTCAAGCAACCCCGAACACACTTCTTAACTATGAATGACTTGAGACCCCAAAGGGCCATCCTTACAAGATTTGTCTCATGAACTATATCTATATCTCGTAGCATATATAAAGCATATTACTTGATGTAGCACATTCTTTGATAACGTTGATAACTTGGTACAGAAATTCGATATTGGACAAAGTTAGCAGTTTTTTAAAGCGAATAATCAGTCATCAAATAAGTCACACTTCAAGCTATACAAATTTTAATATTTTTTTTACTTTTAGCGCCATAGCTTAAATGATATAAGGTAAAATATTCAACACAGATTCTGTCAGATCATATCACACTAACACTTGTCTATTATGTATATTTTATATGCCCCTTACAAGATAACTCAACAATTCTGCATCAACGAAATTCAAAATTTAATATAAAAGCTTATATTTTACTAAGCATATATTTCACTTTGTACTCCCAAGACACTCACGGAAATCCAAAACCCGCAGAAGCCTTTAACATTACTAAGTGGAAAACTCGATATTCGAGAAATCTAAAAAGGGCATTGCCAATAAGTAAAAAGAAGAAGAACTTTTCTGTGGCCCACAGTATATTGATAGCTCTTACAATAATAACAACAAATCTTTGTTTTCAGGTATACAATGTAGTGCCGTCGATAAGCGCGATAACTGGCATTAGCCCACAGAGGTACGTGTGGAGGATATGCATTGCCTTCCACCTCGGGCCACGACTGCTCATAGGCTCTCTGTATTACAACTACCATAAGGAGCGCACTGCGTTTATTAACGAGGAAAAGGTATTGTATGCTTTATAAATATACAGAAATATTTATACCCTTAATTTACTTCTAGATCAATTGACTCGAACAACAATCTAAAATTGCCCTATAGAGGATAAGATCCACTCACCTCGAATTATTTTTATTTATTTAGTTATACTAAGTGTGTCTAAAATACAGTCATTCTGTATCGGCGTTCTATTGAATCTAGTAATATGCCAAAGTCGTGTATCCGGACGAAAAGCAGTTGTGATTTTTTACACAAAAATACAAAAAGCTACCTTAAAACTTTGTGAAAATAAACTGTGTATTATAAAACTATTTGTCAAGTTTTACTGACATCGGTTAACGGAGGGTGGATGAAATCCGATATGAGTAATTTTCAGGTTAGTTTTCTGTACCTAATTTCGGTGGCAATTTTTATTATTTATATAAATATTCTGAAATATTATCACGAAGCATTATTTAATATTCGAATGTAGTAATCTAAAATATTATTTAATATTTCACGACAATGTACTCAAATATATAAATAATAAAAATTGCCACCGAAATTAGATAAATAAAACTAACCTGAAAATATTACTGAAATTTAACCCACAAACCGGATCCATCTCCTAATTTGCCATCCTGGAATGTTTTCTTCGAATTTGAACGGAACTACTGAGGTACGTCCTTTTCGACAAGAAAAATTATTGAAATCAGTTCACAATTGTCAGAGTAATCGCGTAACATACACAAAAAATACAGTCGAATTTAGAACCTCCGCTTTTTTGAGATCGGTTAAAAAGTGATTACATTTTTTCACAATACCCAGTATATTATGAATAAATGTGACGCCCAGACGGGTTTGTTTTGTCACCAAAGCGTCCGACCAAGCTGGGTCAAAGCGTAGGTGGACATCTTTCCCATTATCTTTTCTTAAGAATGTTTTCCTTCATTGTTAAATAAACAGCTGTATCAATGTCGCTCTAATAGATTTTCGTCCATTTACGACCTATTGTTTTTAAATATAGAGTCGTTATTAGATACTTTTGTATTCGAAAACAAGTCATCAATAATAAAATCATGAATTTTTGGGACATAGATTTAAAATAATTGTGTACTGGCTGCCATTTCCATCATTTGTAATTACATCTATGTGGCAAGTTTTATTGAAATCGATCAAAGGAAAGTGTAAGTCAAATTCATTAAACTACATTCATTCCCTAACCTTGAAGGTGGAATATTTTCCTCCAACTTGAACGGTCGCACTACTTTCCAACAAAAAGATGAATAATCGAAATCGGTTCACAAATGTCGGAATAGGTAACGGCGTAACCTACACAAAAAAATGCAGTCCAATTGAGAACCTCCTTCTTTTTTGAAGTCGGTTAAAAGTAGCGTAAAGTAATATATAAAATCCAATTGCATATTTTGCTGAAGCCACGTATGGGTTAAGGACTTCACATGTTTTTAGTGACATCGTAACACAGGGTTTCTTTTTTTTTTATAATACTAAGTGACGGGACGAAAAAGTCGTGCACCTGGTGGTAAGTGACACGCCTAAATGCATAATAGAGCTTTAAATCGCAAAAAAGTCACCTTAAGACATAAGTTGATGTCCCATGTGCCTTTACTTTCACCAGAACCCTTCAAAACCGGAACACAGTAATGCTCACATTACTGCTTGGCGGCAGAAGTAAGGTGGCAGTTCTCACTTCCCTGGACGAATTCTTTCGCCCGGAACTCTATTGCTACTAATTGGATACCCAGTTAAATTTGAATGTGCAGTAACCCAGTGCATAGTACTTACAATATTGCGATTAAAATAAATTACAAAGCCCTAAAAAAGGAGAGAAAATAGGTTATTACCCTACTAATGAGGTGTCGTTAGATTCATCTTGATTGTGGGAGTATAAAAAAAATGATCAAAATAGTGAGGGGGTTCAATTTTTTTATCTTTCTAGCTAAATAATTTTGCAATCGGGTTTATGTTTTTTTAAATCATTTTTAGGCTTGTTTTTTTAAACGTCCCATTGCTGGGCGTGGACTCCTCTCGGTTTAGGCCGTAGTCTGCCACGCTGGCCCGATTTGGATTGGGACACACACGTTCACACGTTTCCATGGGTTGTGAACCTCCTTCGACGTACAGGTTTCATCACGATGTTTTCCTTTATCGAAAATTTCATGTTATTTCAAATAAAATTTAATAAATTCCGAAACTTAAAGGTGTGAGCCCGGATTCGAACCCGCGACACCTGCTTGAGAGGCGGTAAGTCAAATTATTAAGTTACCACGACTTCTGTGGATACTCTACATAAACTTACGACGATCATTCTCGGACTATAGAATAGAATAGAATAGAATAGAATCGTTTATTTCATGTTATCAATGTCACAATATTACAATTGGAAATACAATGTCAAGGGATAACTATGATCGTCAGTAACAAAATAATAATAATAATAATGAATATAAAATAAAGTAGTATAACTACTGCTTGTCGAATAAAATAAAATTAAAATTGTTTCAAAAGAAACTCATCGACACTGTACAATTCAATATCCAATAAAAGGATTTTTAGTCGGGGATTTTTAATTGTTCACTATCTAATTTTCGTGGCAATTTTTATTATTTAAGTATTCGATTTTTCTATATTGCAATACTATGTAATATTCGAGTACTGTATCATGAATTATTATTTAATAATTACACAATAACATGCCTGAAAATTTATATAATAAAAATTTACACGGAAATTAGCTACCTACCTGTAGTCCGAGAAAGACCGAAGAATATATTGATGTTGTAAACGCAACAGCTAAGTGAATTCTTATGGACCAAAATCCCTTGCACTTTGTAACCGACTTCCACAAAACATGGTGAGCTAGATTAATAACCTAATTCATTTGTATTCATACAGTAGCCCGTCCCAATAAAAGTCGTGTTACGTAATCACTGTTGGGTCCTCCCATCCACGTGAAATATAATCCTGAACCTGAAAACTGAAAGCTATATATATCTGAAGAATTGACCTGTTTCGATTAGTACTTTCAACAGTAAGTTTTTTGTTTGTTGTTTTCAAACATTTTTCTGCTTTTGGGGATGTCGTTAAACTTACATTATGTTGTAAAAGTTCTAACCACCCTTTTGCGGTGGTACCTTTCTACACAGTATAACCTAGCTTTCAGAAAGCTGGTCCCGTTTCTTCGACACCATTGATTCCTCATAACATCATTTCAGTCTGAGTGTGTTTGAAACAACCTTACATTATCTTTTAATGTACAGGATCAAGGGCATGTTAATCTTCACACTTACGATTTAAATTCAAGTCTATGCCGCATGCGATAAGAACGGTCAAAGTGTTACATTAAATGTAAATGTGTACATTAAGTCAAAGTGTCAAAGTAGATATGCTCATGACTGCTCAAGATGACTTATTACTAGATTATCATGGTTTTTTTTATAATTGGTGACTTAAAATTTTTATTAAAAGTAGCATGGGGCTCTATTGACTGTCCGGAATTTCTATCACAAATTATCACTGAGGGACCTCTCTCAGGGTTGTATTCTAAAACTCTATTCAATGCTCAAGTCAGGATTGCACTGGTAACACAAGCACTGGAAATACGAGCCTAATGGCAGGAACTTGAGTATGATATTAAGTGCTTTAAACCATACTCAAATCCTAACTTGAGCATTGAGTAGAGTTCTAGAATACGACCCTAAGTAGCTTAGGAACAATTCACTTTTGGGCACACAAACTGGCTTCAAAAAAGCTCGGAATGCTCAATAGAGCGAAGCAGTACTTCTCTCCATGTCACCGACTTTTGTTATATAAAACACAAGTAGCGCCCCACATGGAGCATTGCTCGCATCGTTGGGCAGGTGCTCACAAATACCAGCTTGATCCACTTGACTCCATCCAACGTAGGGCTGTTCGTATTATCGATGATCCCAAACTCACAGACGTTATGGAGCCCTTTAGCCTACGGAGAGACGTTGGATCTCTATGTGTGTTCTACCGTCTTTGTAACTGGGATTGCTCTGAGGAACTTTTCGAACTGGTGCCACCATCTCGTTTCTACAATCGCACCTCCCGCCAAAGGAGTAGAGTCCATCCCCACATCTTAGATGCCTGGCATTGTAAGACCACGCGGGCATCTCGTTCGTTTCTTCCTCGAACCTGCAAGGCGTGGAATGATCTTCCTCCTGAAGTGTTTCCTTTGCGCTATGACATGGGATTCTTCAAAAAGCGTGTTTATAGAGCTCTCAAAGCCTGGCAACGCATAAGCAGCTCATCTGATGTTGCAAATGTCCATGGGCGACGATGACCACCTCCTATCAAGTGGCTCGACTGCTCGTTTGCCTCCTTCATTACATTAAAAAAAACCGGAACCCGAACGCAGTAATGTTCGCATTACCGCGTTCCGGCAAAAATAGGTAAGGTGGCAGTACTTCTGTGGACGATGTCTTTCGCGAAGAGCTATTGCAACTAAAAATATTAGCATTCTTTATTAGGGTAGTAAAGACATCATGATATTTATTGTAATAAATATGCGATAGAATGATTTGCCATAAAGATTGCGTTAGGCAGGCGCATTGCAGATCACAATTTTTTATATTTTTTTCGGGGAATAATGCCTATCGAGCCGTATCCGAATATACCGTATCTGAATTGTCTCGTCATATACTCATAGAAAGATAACTTAAGGCTTGTCCGATACCAATGTATCGGACAAGCCAGCCACGACACACGTATAATAATTTACCTCTGAGCTATTATTTAGCATAGGTACTTCTTTAACTTTCGGACATAATAACATACTTGAATGGAATATAGATAAACACGACCGACAGACGAAACCGAGGACAGCTTCAAACAGGTGGAAAAGTAAAAAGAACCTCCCCGACTGAACCTAATCATGTATTGCATCCAGCGGTGGCGACGACGTTATTATACGTATCACGTCTTCACAAGTGAAAGCCAATGTCACCCTGAGGATCGAACGGCTGGGATTCCGCCACAATGTGAACTTTTACTCTTTTGTGACGAGAGTAGGTACAAACTGAAAATCTGTCGACCTTCAAGGAGGCTTTTGAGCGAAAGATGTCAAGTACTGACGTTTTCGAGACCGGATACCGGGCACCTGCGTTGCGTGACATTTCGCAATCCATACGTGTAAATAATTATGTTTAATTATGTTTTCTTATTGTCATCATGTATGTTAATCTATAAAGTGTGTTTACTGATTACAAATAAATAAAAAAATATATTAAGACAAACTGTTGTTGCTTCGTTCCAGGCTCGAGTATTAGCTACGAAGTTAGGGAATGCCTGCTACTGGCTCAATTTCGTAGAAGTATTTGCACTCACCGGAGTCACTTACGTATCTAATAGAGAAAACTATTGTAAGTAATTGCTTTCACAATTTAGTTTTAAGTACTATGCTTTTGGTAATAAAATAACTAATATTTGAAAAAATAAAATAATGCAAAACCGTGTACTCCAAAAAATCAATAGAGTATTTCGTTTTGTATGATGTCAATCGACGCACTAGTCGTGCGCCTAGTGGTAAGCGACACGCCTATCCATGACAGTTGCAGTGTTACTCAGAGCTTTAAATCGCAAAGATCTGTAGGGTACTGCCACTGCGCCCGTCACCCTGAAACATAAGTTGACAAGTCCAATGCACCTGCACCCGGAAAACCGGAACACAGTAATGCTCTCATTACTGCTTGACACCAGGTATAAGTAAGGTGGCAGTATTTCCCTGGATGAACTCTTTCACAAGGAGCTCTAATGTTCCTAAAATAAATTACTAACAATTCCTAAATTGCGAAAACTTGCCTTAATCGAAGTTTAATATTATGGTGAAACAAAAACTTTACACTATAGGTGAACTTCTGCGTACTTGGCTATATGGCTCGTCCGATGTTTGAAATAAATATCGTAAATGATAAATGTGTGCAAATGTTTATTTACAAAGACCAACCATTGGAATCTGAGGGGAATTTGCCTTACGAATGAGTAGGAGAGTATAAATCAATATGAAAATTTCAAACGTAAGAGAGTTTACGCAGTACGTCTCATTCATATCAGTTCCCAATCCGAGAAATTACGGTCCAAAATGTTACAGGGATCATTTTATCTCTAAGTTTACCAAGCGATATTCGTATATTCTCGGTTTCGAATAGGACTTAGTGCACAAACGACATCTGAAATGTGTCAGAGTTTTCTAGATTTGTATAGTTTCGGATCCGGAACGAATAAGAATATATGAATCGGATGCCGTGCGCCAACGCACTCATGCTTACCTTTCAAATAAAGATTACTTGATTTTGACTAACAATACAGTTATAAAATGTTTAAAACAAAATTAATCGCACTGTATGCATGCTACTTTATATACACACCTTCTTTACGTAAATTAAATATCTAATACTTATACCCTTTTGGGGCACGTTTGTAAAAAACTATTTGTTTCATTTTCCAGTCGTACACGAGAAGATATTCATAGTGTTCATGATAGCCGCTCTCCTCCACATGCTGTGTCGAGCGAAGGTTGGCTGCGTGGCCAGTGACGTTGTAGAACCAGTGAGGACCAACAAACTTGTATGGATATTGTTCTATGTAGCCATCACTGCTACAGTGGGCCTTATTATCCACTTCTTAAGGCATCGACTTTTGTGTCGTCCTTTAGGTAAGAGTTATTTTTTATGGTATGAAGTGACGTGACGAGTTCGACAAGTTTGTCGTGCGTCTCATGGTAAACGACACGCCTGTCCACAGCAGTTGCAATACTTTAGATCGATTTACATCGCAAGATCTGAAGGGCACTGCCACTGCGTCCTTCGCCTTGAGACATATGTCGAAACGTCCCATATGCCTGTAATTTCACTAGCACCCTTACCCTTCAATACTGGAACGCAGTAGCCGCCAAGCATTAATGTGAGCATTACTGCTTGGCGGCAGAAATAGGTAAGGTAGCAGTACTTCCCTGGACAAACTCTTTCCGAATAACTCTACTACCAAAAAGTACAATTATAGTGTAATTTGGTACTAGTAACGATTGCGTAACAGATTTTCTAATGTTCCTTAAAAGAAACCTGATTTTAAAAGAAACCTAGATATGTTACCCTTGACGAGGCCTTAATACCGATGCACTTCGAATGACCAACAAAGATAATGATGTGTAATATCACCCCACATTACGTTCTACAGCTTATAGAATTCGTCCGTAGTATGACGAGAAAAGATGGGTTTAGTATCTCATAGAAAATTTTTCAACATTCCAGCTTTCACCTGGTTCTCAGTGTGCGAGTACATCTTAGCAACCGCCAACATGGCGTTCCATGCCATCGTGGTCCGGGACCTACCCTTGCACCAGCTCCAAGTGGTCTGCCCAACGCGTAACAAAACCGAATAGCATTGTAACAGTCGTAGATTAGTTTCAATGCGTTGTAGGTAGGGATTTTATTGGTTTTTATTTATTACTTTTCATTCAACATATACTTTAAATGAAATTCCAAACAGCGTAAAAGGCACCAAATTCAACATCAGGGTTTATGTTCTGTAATGGTTTGGAAGTCTGTCTACAAACTGTTACAATATTGGTTATGGACTAGAACCGGAGCCAATAAATTAAGAAAATATATTGTCTTTGGGTGGCCGGAATGGAGGCAAAAGTCGAGGATAATTTGTCCTGTAATAAAATATAAAAATAAAGTCAATGTACGTTTGGCATTATACATAGGTTGCATGTTTTACCTAGGGCTGGACATTCGTATCTGTGTTTTTGCAATATTTTTTTAATATGTATGTTGGATTTCAAAATTTTCATTTATGTTAATTATACATAGAATAAACACGTACATTGATCGTATTTTTATATTTTATTACGGGACAAATTAGCCTCCACTTTTGCCTCCATTACGGCCACCCAAAGACAATATATTTTCTAGTTTATTGGCTCCGGTTCTGGTGTATAACCAATTGTAACACAAATAATAGCCTTGACGTAAATTTTACTAAAGTCTCGTAGAGACAGCACTTCAAGCCTTTGTTTAAATATCGCCTTAAGAGCAACAAACAAGATCTGTCAATGTGTAGCACGATATGCTGCCGTCCGTACATATTTTGACCAAATTACGTTAAAATGTCCTGTACTATGATCAAGACTAAAATACTGAACTTTAATTGGGCGAACTATCCAATAACTGTATAAATAGTTATGTTAAACAATTTTTTTTTTATTATTGGGATCAATAAACCGTTACACGTTACCAATATCCCGTTACCCACAGATTGTGTAAACAGTTTATGGATTTCAGTAAATACTACTGCACTCCTAATTCAGTGATGTCATTACCAATAAATAACTCCAACTCTAAATCAAGAATATATATCGTCGAGGATAGTGCAAATACGCGTAACTAGCATTTAATTATGACTCTCCATTTCGGTAATTTAGTGGCCAAATGAAATACGCGTAAATGTCGTGGAAAACAAATTAGCATGATTTACGAGAATCTATTGTTATCAGTCCGTAGACAACATAAATTAATGCGTACTATCATTGACTTACAATTATATGGACGTCGGGTCCGCGCTAAAAAGTGTCCGAACTTATAGGGCGTTAAAATCGTATACAGAGCGTCATTTACGCTTTAGTCTTCGTTTGTTCGACTGACAGCGAAGCAAGCAAAATTCGACAGTACTGCGATGACATTACAATTTAAATTCAACGTTTTAGCTTTTTCATATTCCTTTACATGTCACTACGTTTAAATAGGTTGACTTGGGACATTTTTTTCGTGGTTTTTGTATTAGACCCGTCGTCCATTTATTTGTAAGTCAATGCGTACTATGCAAAAATTCAAATAACAAATAACGTTAAATCCTTCTCCTGTGAAATTTGGTTTCGTGCAGATACGCGCATTTTACCAACACTACATACGCGGATTTGCACGATCCCTGACGATATAGTAATGTAATTATGGTTGTATGTACAGGGCCCTCTTATGTCTATTGACATCAATCGGTGAGAGCATTTACAACAAATAATATTTTATTTGACGAACATGCGAAAAGGAAATCTCTTCCAACTCAAAAATACCAAGAATGTGGTAGCCATTTGTACAGAAACGTGATTATAAAACTATTATTACAAAACCTATAAACAATAGAAAAATAGGTACATCAAACAGAATTAGCTCTTGTAGCTTAGTCACCGTGTACGACATAACCCTCTCACCTCGATAAAAAGCTTGGACAATTGCTTCCAAAGAAATCACTTCCACAAAATCCATTCGTAATCAAAAGCCTGACTCAGCTATAAAAATGTATGAAGGTCAGACTACCTACATATATAGTTATATAGAATAGAAAAAGAAAACATTTCTACGTATTCAGCATAAAGTTTATTTTGTCACAAAAAAAATACTTTTCGCTCAAAATTTGTGGCGTAGTTATAAAGACGTCAACATCGATAGAGTTTATTTGCTACATAATTAAATAAGAGCAATACTTTCAAGAATACGATTTTGAATAAGAAACTAGATTTTATCAGATTTTGTCCTTATTATATCAAGAAAAATCTGAAATTAAACTAGTAAACCACCACAGATTTAATAATCAAGAAATCTTAATAAAAAACTAATATCCGGACAACAGATCTAGAAACCAAACAAAGGAAAAAAATAATAAATAAGATAACTTAAAAATTTGGTGCCCAAAAACCTTGCTGCCTTCGTCAATCCCTATACAGAGGATGCCCGTTCGGTCCGTCAATTCGGCGTGTTAAGCAGCAATAAATTGCACGCATTTTTGTTTCTACATATAATATAAATTCCTTATCTGAATTCAGGAAGTCATTCCTTTCGAGACTTACCGTAGTCGAGAAAAAATCTTATTCACGACAGATTCCTATTCTCATAAATATAACGCGTAGGTATTTCTTTACAAATTATCAAATACCTACCGCTGTCATTAAAAGGTGCAAAATATAGTTATAAAAACGACTACCGTAGATACGTTACAAACTAGTAAATAAAACACACATTAAATTAGCAGCTTTAAGTAACAAGTGCTTTCCAATGCCTATTTTAATAAGTTAGCCATAATGAAATTTTTATAGAAGAGCCGTAGATAATATTTAGATACCTACCTAAATGTAAACTTCATTTTAAGTTAACGTCTCGTTTAAGATGTAGAAAATACTAGATGTACTTAAGTGCAATTGTAAGTTCTCTAACCAAGAAGATGAAGATTGAATTAAGTAAATAATGAACTGGAATGAAAGGTAATGTACAGTTTGGGAAAGATTTGCAAATACTGCTACAATTCGCATCTTAACCAATAAATGTGTCTGTGTAAAAATACAATTTCAGTATTCGACACAATTCGTATTCCCTAATTAAAATTACATTTGGATATTTTTGCTTACGTAAAGGAAGTTATGACTTCCTAACGATTGCCATTATACTGAGAAAAACAATTATTTTACAAAAAAAATACTTTGGAAAAAATACAACTAAAATTTCAACGACGAATATTTCTTACAAACTAACATCGTCAACAATATTTTATGTTTTAGCGAAACTATGTAAATATTTGAGCGCAATAAAATTATGCGTTTTCTTTAAGAAATGAAACTATTTTCTCGGACCTTTATTTACAACGTTACCTACGTTTCGGGCCCTTTACAGGCCCCATGGTCATGGCTGACTAAGATGTGGTATGACCATGGGACCTGTAAAGGGCCCGAAACGTTGGTTTATTTGAAAAACAAATACACGCGATTTAGATCCGAAAAAATAGTTTCATTTCCTATGCGTAACAATCGCGACATCCTAAGAAATCGTTTTTGTAAAGTTATTTAAGTAATTTCGTGTAAAAATTCCAAATACTTGGTTTTCGTCGTATAATGACGACGTTACCTTGATTCTTATAGCTTTACTTAAAGTAAAAATAAATAAAAATCTTGATAAAGGACCAAATTTGTTGTCACCAGACATATCCTAATAACTTTAAGTTTATTAAAGTTGTTCTAAAATGGTCGTATAAGAATGTAACAAAAGCTGGTAATACGTGTTATTACTTCATTTAAAGTTAGCATTTTTTTTTAAATTACGGAATATCTAGCGCATGAAAAAGATATGTATAATTTTTTATTATTAATGCAAATGTTCCCGTGCTCACATAATTTGCACAATGTCTGTCGAACAGTTTGCCCTGGGATGAATCACTTTTTTGGTATTTTTGGCGAAAAATATCATTCATAAAAATCTACATGAACAATACTTGCGATGCATCATAGTAAAAAAAGAAGGAATAATGAAATCAATAATTAATAATGAAATAAAGTTATCAAAATGAGTCGATCGAGCCAAGTTTATAGACTATGGAGTACTTTCAGTACCCTTAAATGGAGTAACTTTTGACATTTTCGTCTAATTATCAACAACGATTCAGACACTGCTCATTTTATATGAGGACACAACTCATGTCATATTTAACGGGCGACAGCCAATGACATCGATTTTCAAAGCAAGAGACGCCTTTACGTAGTACCTCAGTTTGTTTTTTTTTTATGATGGCAAGTGATCTAAGGGGCACTCCCACTGCGCCCGTCACCCTGAGACACAAGTTGATAAGTCCCATAGTGTTCACATTACTGCTTGGCGGCAGTAATAAATAACGTGGAAATATAACAATTATACTTCCCCGGAAAAACTCTTTCACAAGTAGAGGCACTTGCGCATTTAAGGGTACTTACATAAAAACTGAGTACATATTTATAACTAGATTTATCGAAAACAATATTCTACAAAACGACACCAATCATTAGCAACTAAGCGTAGTGTGCAAAATATTGTATGAATAATTGATAGTAAGAACAAAACACAGCATTATGAAACAGAATGACGATACTTACAAAATGTATCTAATTCGAAAAAGTGATGTTCGGTATTGATATTTTGTTAAAATGGACTTAACAACGTACAAAATTGTAAGTAAACTTAGAAGTAGGTATATAATAGATAACATGCATTATAATGAGTTCGCACAAGTTGTATGCACTATACATTGGTACTTATCTACCTACATACGTTTTTTTAATAAATAACACATTGTTTATTCATTAAATACGTACTTAGTTATATATAATTAGTTCAGTATTTATTAAAATAATATAAAAGTTTTGCTTATTTAATATCTACGTAATTATAATACACGAAAAACGCAAAATTTTGTTTCAGGTGGTATGCTATGGTCCTGTATATTTATGGGTAATTGTTTGGTTACTGTTCTCTAGTTGGCAATTTTTAGTATATATATATTCTAGAATATTATCATGAACTATTGTTTTATATATTCGATTTATTTCGATTAATAAAAATTGCTACGGAAATTAAGTAGAGAAAACTAACTCGAAAATTGCCCATTTACAAAAAAAATTGGATGAAAGTGATGTTATTCCTTTTTAGATTAAAATACTAAGAAGGTATGATCGAATGTCCACTGTGCTCAGTGGAGTGGTGAACAAAACATAGAAAGATATATAGGTAATAGGTAATGTTATAAGTTAATAGATATTCAATTTTTATATTTCTACAAATGTAAAACTTGAAACGGTAATGTTTGGACAAAAAAATATGCAAAGCTTTGGTGAAACACACAGTGCCATGACATACTACCTTACTTTACATTGTTCACGGTTGAATTTTAAATCAGCGTAAGTAACATTTTGTCGGTGATAACATTTGTTAATCTTAGTAAGACATATGAAAAGTCATTAACATTAAATTATTCTACACTCCGGGACACAACAGTCGAACCACCTTGCATTTTTATTCTTAGAGATTCTTATTTTATCCAAGATATTGTCATCATCGAAGAAAAAGTTTTGCCCGGTTTTACAAATACAAATTTCCAATAAGAACGTGAAATTGATTTATATACCAGTTTCCAAATTGCGGAATAGTTTTTGATCAAGCAAACATTGTTTAAGCTCTGAGCTTCTAATACTGAAAATACATGGTGCCTCGAATTAAGCCTTTATTCTCATAAGGACAGATTCTCAATAGGACGGATTCTCAAGAAGACGGATTCTCATGAAGACAAATTCTCAAAAAACCGGAAAGTGTACAGGTGCACGCAAAAGTATTTGAAATACGCCTCGGTAACATAAGTTTAACGTATGTCTGCATGTTCCTTGCGCGTTGGTTACTTTTTGTATGGGCCTTTAAATAGTACTTTTTTTTGTCGTCGTGGCGATAATTGAGGATGCCTATCATTGAGGGATGCCTATTTCTAGCGTCTGGGTGTGTATTGTTTCAGGTTCTAAGTTAAACGATATAATTGCACAATTTGGGAAGTCGTGTGTTTTTAGTGCATAATTATCATTTCTGTATTTAATTAAGTGTTAAAATGAAATAGTTAGATTGTTGTTATTATTATTCTTATATCAGTGATTATATCGGTTGTAAAATACAATTAATTGTTCTCCTATAATGTATTTCTTGGATTGACAACTTAAATTGAAAAATATTTTTGTGAAAAAGTACAATAAAAACTAAAAACTAATATAATTTCGTCGTTTTGTTCAACAAATTTGAGTACTTAATAATGAAATAAAGTGATCATTGCCCATATAGTTATTTTATTCTTCGGAATCTTAGTAAAAAACGTGTAACATTCTACAGCACACGTATTTAGTAACAAAAATTAGCGCCATCTAAAATCTTAATAGTGAATACGTAAAATGACGATAGATGGCGCCACCAGTCTGGCTTGATAGAAATAGAAAACATTCGCTCTCTGTCGTACGTTTCCAAGATGGCGGCACACGCAAGCTAGGCAGGTAGCAAATATGAGAGTGTGAGTGTATACGTGCACAAAATTTCACGTTTGACCACTCTGGACACGCACACGAATAAACAAAACCGGGCGTGCGCGGGGCAAGGGGAGTAACGTCCGTGAAGTTGTGTCAGCTTATGCGCAAACGAGGTGCGCATTCGTCGCGTGCGTTGTCGGGATTCTTTGTGCCATTCTTCGCATACCAATAAGAGTATATTCTTTAAATTTACTACTAAATTAACATTAAATCAAAATTCGCCCCTTCACCTCATCTTCAAACATCGCAATAGGTAAGTGAAAATAATTTTTTGAGTGATTTTCATACAATTAACTCGAGATTTCGGTGATTTTTGTTCGGGAATGTCAACAATGCGATCGCGATCCTGCAATATTTTACATAGTTGTCGCGTTTGCTTCGCTTCGACTTCCGGTCGTTCGGGTGTCGGCATTTCGCGATGTAAACATTATCTAGTTTTAGATTTTGACCGCGTTTAGGTAAAATGTTGGGAATGAAGTGTGCTCAAGGTGCTTTTGTGTTGTTGATTTCGCCCGAGTGTGCTTACTGGGATGGCGCAATTTTCGAAAGACGCGGTATGGTATCGTTCGCTCGCGATACACTTCAGTCGCGTTGGTGGGTGCATGCGATTTGACGTATTCTGCGCGTGGTGATGTCACTTGTCAGCTTATTTTATGAAATGTCAAGCGGTTTTCATGTAACGTGCGAGTGAATGGTAAACAAATTGACAGTGAAATTGATATTGATGCAGTGAATTTTAACAAGTGACATGGACTGTTATTATTCGAAATTTTATCCAAGGCGTAAGTATTTATTTACTTCAATTTGTCAAACAAAACAAACAACCAAATAGTTTAAATAACTTACGGGCATTATTTCTGGCGTTTTCGCGGGTATTAAATAATTTTCGCTATAAACATTTCATTGATATTTCAAAAATTACTTGATAGTTTATGCAATTAAAAATATATTTCGAGAAAATTGTTTGCTTTTATGGCTTTTAATATTAATTTTTAAATTTCGATTGCAAATGACGTTGAAATAGTGACTACGAAAATAAAATTTTACTATAGTAACTTGAAAAAATGTACATAAAAAAATATTTTTAGATATTGTAGCATTTGAAAACTTACATATAATAAGTGTTTTTTTTAATACGAAAGTATTTAGCATATAGCTTTGTTTGCAGTATACAAATTATTAAAATGAACATTATTATGTAATAACAGTACTTCATAAAAAAATAATAAGCCGTAAATAAATAAAAAAATAGTAATAGTGTAAAATTTTACAGCTGCGTAAGTAAGTACTATACTATTAATTTAAATTTAGTGCATATTTACTTATGTATTTGTTTAATTTATATAAACAAAATTTATTTCAATTTTTGTTATCTATCATCACATCGGTTAGTGCCTAAGTTAATTTTAAAGGAAAGTAGTACGTGTGAGTTTGAGGGGTGGAATTATATATGAGATTCATTGCCTCATAGGCAAATTAAATTATTTTTTATCTGTTCAATAGAAAACATGTGAGGTGGATAAACGTGATGCTATTCAAGATTATAATCAAAATTAAATCTCAATGGGAACGAATAATATATTAAAATAGTGTCACTAGACTTTTAAACTTTAACTGTAAAAACATGTTAAGACGTTCGACATTTAAATTTTACTAACTTAAATTTTCACTTTGTCCGACGGTGTTAAAATTTCAACATCGAAGTTATAATTTAACAATACCAATCATTTGTATTAAGATAATGAATCCAAAGTTATGCACAATATGTTAGATTTCACATATTAAACAATGAATATCCAATGAATGGCTAAAATTTACAAGAGAATTCCGCGGATGAATCAGAAAATGTGGTCCGTTATAATTATGAAAAGGGCTTTGTTGTGTTGTGAATAAAAATCTTATATACCCCCTATGAATGTCACCCCTAACATAATGGTTGTTTATATTTTCCACAACACGTCAATAATACACAATCACGGAAACCCAAGACGCTAACATAAATATTTAATGAACAGGTACACATCGCCGATTGGCGCGAGTTAAATCTTCGTTTCCCGTTGATACCGCGAACTGTGACGTATAGTTTTGTATATCTTGAAACTTCGCTCACAGTATCTGCCGGACTCTCGAACTGGTGCCAAAAGTTATTTTGGTCAATATGGTGATGTTTTTATTGCGCGTCGCGACGCCGCCGGCTGCGAGTTACACGACAAGCAATAAGACGTGTAAACTGCTGACACTTCAGGCCCTCACGCGGCGTCGCACCTAATGGCCGATTCAGAACGATTTATCACGTATTCTGTCTAAGGAAATTGAATTTGGCGACGGCTGCTTTTTCTCAAACCATTATAATCCTTTAATTAAACTCTTCTATTTTATTTGACGTCGACATTCTCACGTGTTATTAGATTTTAAAATGAGTGCACTCATTTATCGTTCTATATCTTCACAATTAAATAAAGGAAATATATTTGCTTAATTTGCATACCCTATTGCATTGTTCAGCAATTTCCGATAAAAGCCTTGTAGATGAATATGAATTTGAACGCCATCAGTGTAATTGAATACGTAAAGTTGCCTACAGAAGTTGCATATTACACAGGCATAATTGGGAGGTAGTCGATACGCGGTCCGGATGCAGTAACCATAGCCCTGCCCATTCGCTTACACGCGGATCATATAACCGAGTTCACAGATAAAACCTCGACTTATAGTTTATTACTGCGTTGTATAATGAAAGTAGATTATTGCAAAGCAGTCAAAACACAATAAAAAAATACGTGACTGTGTAAGCATCAAACGACTTTTCGAATTCATAACGATGTGTCTACCAGGTGCTATAAATAACAATGCGTATCAATTTGAAATTTGTTGCAATAAAACAAACACTAGAACATAAAATGTAATTGAAGATTGTATTTAAAAAAAATTAAAATGTCTGATACGTCTTTTTTAATCTCAATTGTTCGATCATTAAAGTCTTCTTTCAAATGCAATTATTATGTACATTTTCACTCATATTAGTAACAAACCAAAAACGATTAACAACAAAATTGTACTCTATGTATGTAGTATAACTAGCGAGAAAGGTTCGTAATATTGAATGAGTTCCAACCGGTCCCTACCTGCTACATTGACCTGCAAGTTCCCTAATCCCTTAACCGCTTGCCCGACCACGAATTAAACTCCACTCAATGATGTGATTCTTATTTGTTTACTACAGTCGACCGTAGTTTATACTTTTACGGGTAACATGTAGAGACCGTTATCCAATCGTAAAGATTGAAAATTACACTAAGTATTTTCTACAATTGTCTTAGAACAATGTTTTATTTATCGTAAATTGTTTCCAATGTCAGTTTTATTACAAACGTTAAATATAGATAATAAATTAACCTATATAAGAACGTCGGTAAATATCGCTAAGCCTCTTGTGCTATGGTAAATGTACATATTAATTACGTCAATAGAATATTGACTCATTTATTTGTTTTTCCCTTGATTGACGCTATGTTTTATTTCCCGTTTTCATTATGAATGAATTAATGAGTGGATTATCTCCGATCCAACAGGTAAAACATGTATTTATTTTCAAATGCATTTTATATTATTGTACGACGCTTCAAACCGAATATTTATAATTTAATTTAAATGATCATGAAATTATTTAAATTAATAGTTATCCATACTTTTAACTAATTAGCTTAATTATACGACCCATTGACACTAAAAAGACGATTTACGACTATTCGTTATATATTATTGTTTATTTGCCCATTGCATGTGTGATTTTCGTGTAAAAGTGCGTGGTAATTATTTCATTCTAAGATTCGGACTTGTGCTAAGTGTAGAGCTAAATCAAAAAAAGAAAAGCACGAAACCTTACAACAGCTTTTGGTCCACTATCCACAAGCGAGAAAGATAATCGTGACATAAGTCAACGTCTTTATTACTTAACTACAACATTTTATGCTGCTGTATATGTATGTAATGTTACTACATTTCAGCTCTTAGCAGTTAGATTGTCGTCGAGAATAATAGCGTAGCTGAAAAATTTCGCGGTTAAACTGGAGACGTTACTGACTGGCTGGTTGCGACTGTCCAGTAGCCTCGCTCTATTCTCGGACTCCTATTTGTGGATTTCTCTCCCTCGCACTGTCCCGATGAAATCAACCGTACCATCAGAACGATACAGTTTAAAATTAGTCCTAATGACGCACTCCATCCGACCTTCTCGACGAGGGGAGCTAAAAGGACCTACTCCTTACCTCTTATTTATCTTAATTTCGCTCTCCAAAGAAGTGGCAAATGGGGATTATGGTTGTGAAATTCATGTCGTTCGCGCTTTTGTGCGACATCCCCACATATGTTTATGCAAGTAAACAGTTTAAAGTAATAATATCAAGTTGTTTTTGCATTTTGTAAAAGAGATTTCATTCTAGTGATATAAAGTTCATTAGTCACATATGAAACCAGTCCACGGGGAAACCAGTTCTTATTCCCTGATTCATTGGATTGAAATAAAAGTGATCTATGCCAGACTACCTGTATAAACCGCAATTACCGTATCGCAATAACATAGTGTTTATTAAATGCTAATTTCCTGTTAATTACAACCTTATCCACTCGTTTAGGGCATTCTGTTAGCTCTGCAATGTCAATTGTTCGTCTCATGCAAGAGCACGGAAACGTTAAATGATTTATCACTGTAATTATTCTCATCTCCGTCAGCTCGTAATGAAAGGGAACTGAAGCGCTCTTGAATTCATTTCACCATTCTCTAGAAGGTTCACAGGTAATCACTTGCTTTTACGAGCCGATTTCGTCCTATCTACAAACGTTGCACCACACGTTAAACTTTATTACTCTATGACTGTTACATTAGTTTCTCGATTAATTTTGCTTATATAAATTAGAAGTGTGGAATTTTTCGATGGACCTAGTTGGTATTGTATAGCAACCAATATGTAATGTGAAGCTCCTTTTGAGTTCACTTGTTAAACTATCGTTAAGGTTCACCGGGTATCGGTTACTGGCGATTTAATTAAATTTGTTATTTGTACGTTTTATTTCGCGATGCGGGCCGTGTTCGCTTTGATTGTGTTTCGGTGTGCGCTCGATACCTTTGTCTTCCAATGTAGCTTCTATTGGTTTATTGTTGTTGTTGAACAACTGCTTTTCCTTTGTGGAGGCTTAAATTTTATCTAGTGTTTATAGAGTTTCAAATCAATTCCAGCAAACGAGTTCTTGTAT